CACATACAAAAAACGGCGCAAGTTTGGGTTTTTGGGAGAAGGGGGGTCCACGATGTTGATACACTATGTCAAAGTGTAAAATTAATTGTGAAGCCCTAGTATAGAGGATCTGGTGGGTGTGCATGTGTAGAGGATTCAGAGTGTGCACAGGGGATTGTGTGTGTGTGTGTGTGTGTAGTATAGATGACCCAGACTTGTGTACAGGATCTAATGTGTGTGTGTGTCTGGAATGCAGTGTGTGTGAGGGGTGTGCTGTATGAGGGGTTGCAATGTGTGACAGTGCACCCTATCCATGTACGCAGTGCCCTCATTTCTTACAGTTTTCAGTTCCTATATACCCCATTTCCTTAGTCACGGATTCCTTTTTCAGAACACTTAAAAACAAGAACATGTACCTGGCAGCATTTTCCGCTGCCCTGGGAAACTTTACATTTGGCTATTCTCTGGTTTACCCATCTCCAGTCATTCCGGCATTAGAGAAGAATGTTTATCCAGATCTACACATTGAAACCAATGAAGTGCCATGGTTTGGGGTATGTTCAGATTATGTATAATTATCATATTTCCTTTTGAATGACTGGCTAAAATTAAATCTGTGCACAGAGGGTCATTGATTGGGAGCATGCACTCCACTAACACTCTCAGCCAATGAAAGAGCAGCAGAATTGTCATCTGGCTTCTGAAGCTCTGACCTTAGTAGGGCAAAGTCTGTTTTGACCGTTATGGGAATTAAACTTGTGGCTCTGAGTTAGTAAACCTAGAGCCATATCTTCTGATCTGTCTCACAGTGACTGGCTGGCACTCTGGTATAGCTCTACCTATTTTTAGCTTGTAACATATTGGTCTGGTGAAAATGGTAGATCCACCAGATCGGAGCAGTAAGGAAAAGTTGAACATATTTATAAGTTGGATGGATCTTTTACCTATAACTGTGATTATCTCCAACTCCCACACCTATTTTTATATTTTTTATAGTTTGGGATTTTTTAAATCAGATTGCAAGTGGATTTTTTTGCAATCTTTTGTTTGGATAATTTATATATTTATTTTAAAGTAAAAACTTTTGTTTTAAATTAAATACATTTTTTATTTGAAAGAAAAATTGGTTGTTTTTTTTTTTAAATGACAGGAAATTTAAGGAAATGATTTGAATTTGTTTTTTATGATCTAAAGTGCAGTATTGTTATATACAAATGAATGTTGTCCCCCTTATATAATAATAGTTCAAAGGGACACTATAGGCACCAAAGTACCTTTAGGTTAATGAAGCAGATATGGTGTGTATATCATGCCCTTGCTGTCTCGTTGCTCAATTCTCTGCCATTTAGGAGTTAAATCACTTTGTTTGTACAGCCCTTGCATGTGACTTGCACAGCCTTCCTAAGCACTTCCTGTAAGATGAGATCCAATTTTTACACTTCCTTTATTGCATAGTCTGTTTATTTAAAAATGTATTATCTCCTACTCTAATAGCCTTGAAATCGATCTTCCTTAACTCTAAGGTGTTAAGTGGCACTTATACCACTCTCTATTTGTCAATTATATAATTAACTTTGTTTGTATGCTCTTGCTGTTACATATTGATCTCCACTATATTGATATTTTTTCATTTTGGTTTGGTTTATTTAAAAAATTTTGATGAAAGCATTTGCATTTTTTCTTGTTTTAGAATATTGATGAAATTATAGTATGCATTTGCACTTTTCTGTTGGCGTATGCACACCAATCATTATTCATTTTGGTCTGGTGGCCTGACTCATCTTCTTTTCTCTGCCAGTCCGTGTTTGCTCTGGAGGCCTGCCTGGGTGGAATCAGCTCAATGGTATTGAATGACTGCCTAGGACGTAAACTCAGCATCATGTTCTCGGCCCTCCCAATGACCATGGGATTCCTCCTCATGGGCAGTGCCCAGCATATCTCCATGTTGCTGCTGGGCAGGATTCTAACTGGCTTCGCTAGTGGTCTAACATCATCGTCCATTCCGGTGAGTTTGTATAAGCTGTAACTATATATATAGAGAACCAAATGGCAATGTAAAGATCTGTATGACTAGGACTTGCTGATTTTGCCATGCCTTCAGTGTCCCTATTAACAGTGCCAAGATGGCGGATCCAGGGGGGAGCAACCACACCCCCCTTCCCCCCCTAGAAAACCGAGGGTCTCCCTCTCCCCTGCTGGCTAATGCAGGGCTGGCTTGTCTAAGCGCCAGCCTTGCAATGTGCCTGCGCGGACCGGAGGGGAGATCAGAGATGTGCTGAGAGCCGGCAGGGGAGGGAGAGAGCGAGGACCCGGGAGCTCTTACCTGCAGCTCCTCCGTGTCCTACTCTCGCGAGCACGGAGCGTTGCCGCGGTTACCATGGCAATGCTCCAAATCTCGTGAGAGTGAACTCTAGCCCTGGAGCACGGGCTAGAGTTCACTGGGACCACCAGGGAATCCCCACCGAACCACCAGGGATGGAGAAATGTCCCCCCTCCTCCCAGTAAAGGTAAGAAGGGAAGGGGGACATAAAGAATATATGTTTTAATTAAATTTAAATTAAAAAAAACAGATATAAGAAGGGTGGGGGCGTTTAATATTTTAATATAATATGTGTTGTTTTAAAAAATGTTTTAATTAATATGTATGTATGGGGGCAGTGTATGTGTGTGTGTGGGGAGGGGCAATGTGTGTGATAAGAAGGGTAGGGGGCTTTTTTATAATACCCCATACACACACACTGTCCCCCACACACACTCTGCCCCCCCCATACACACACACTGCCCCACATACACACACTACTACCCCCATACACACACTGCCCCCATACACTGCCCCTCCATACACACACATTGCCCCACACTCACACATACACTGCAATCCGCACACACACACTGCAAATATCACACACAAATACTGACCCACACATACACTGCCCCCCTAACACACACACTGCACCCCTGACATATACTGCCGCCCTCACTCACACACTGCAACCTTCACACACACTTTCCCCCTCGCACCCACATTGCACCCCTTACACATTGCACCACTTACACACACACCACTGCTCCTATGCCCTACTACAGTCCCATTTCCCAGCAGACCTAAGGTAAGTTGTCAAACTGTTATTAAACGGTTTGACTACTTACTCTGGGAGGGGGTCCCGGCCCCATTGACACCATAACCGCTACACTGAGCTGTAGTGGTTATTGTGTTTGGATTATTTCTTTAAATAATCTACAAGTGCCCCTCCCGAGATCAGACTCTGGATCCGCCACTGATCTACATGCCAACATTAATTACCTGTGTTGGTTTCTATTGTCCATGAACAGAGGGGGATTGGTGGTACGTAAAAAAGTTTAGTGCCATAGCATGATGAATATTGCAACCTGCTTTGGCCAGACAGGAGTATTGAAGTGGAGCTTGCAATCTGCTTTCAATCTTGGCTTGCTGTGTGAATCATCCTATATGCGCAGGATCATCCATTAAACATAAAGATTGCATTTGAACCAAGCCCCCTGCCTTTTTTATTTGTTTTGAGTATGTAACACAAGTCACTCGGGTTGGAGTCACAGTAATCAGAGTCTGGGGGCAAAAAGAGTGTAGTAATCCTTTATAATGATTACAGTTTACATCACTACAAATTAAGTGACCATTTTTTTTAACTTTCAAAGCATTTGTAACTATAGCATCTACATCTTTGGTCTTTTTTTTCTGTTATTTTTCTAGGTATATATTTCAGAAATCTCTCACGGTGGAGTCAGGGGTGCACTTGGATCCTGTCCACAGATAATGACAGTTATTGGGGCTCTCGTTCTTTATGCATTTGGTATGTATAATATTTGACCTTTATAAAGTGTGATTTGGCACGTAGGCAACAAGTGACTATAGTGGATCTAGTAACATAGGAAATTAGAGACGTATTGAAATTAAGAAAATTAAAGGACCACTCTAGGCACCCAGACCACTTCAGCTTAATGAAGTGGTCTGGGTGCCAGGTCCCTCTAGGGTTAACCCATTTTTTCATAAACATAGCAGTTTCAGAGAAACTGCTATGTTTATGAATGGGTTAAGCCTTCCCCCTAATCCTCTAGTGGCTGTCTCATTTACTAGGGCGCTATAAGTGCTACTGTGATTTCACAGTGAGAGACGCTAGCGTCATAGGAAAGCATTTATGTGACCGGCTGAATGCGCGGCGCAGTTTGCCGCGCGGCGCATTCAGCCACGGGGAGGAGAAGAGGAGGATCGGAGGAGGAGAGCTCTCCGCCCAGCGCTGGAAAAAGGTATGTTTTTACCCCTTTCCAGAGCCGGGCGGGAGGGGGACCCTGAGGGTGGGGGCACCCTCAGGGCACTATAGTGCCAGGAAAACGAGTATGTTTTCCTGGCACTATAGTGGTCCTTTAAGTCTGTATTGAATGGGATTTGAAAATACCCACTTTATTTACTGCTAGAATTGGCACCTTGGCCAAGTTAGCCTTGACAGTTATAAGTTCTAAATGTAGTTTTAAGGTACATAAGTACTGTAAAGTAGAATGCATCATTCACATATTGCTATAGCACCTGCCACAGTCATGTTTATTGATCTTTATTATGATATTGTTTTGTCACTATAGGGAATATCTTGTCATGGCGGTGGTTGGCAGTGGTTGCAGAGGTTCCAGTATTCACTATGCTCGCCCTTATGTGCTTTATGTCTGATTCACCTCGCTTCCTGGTCTCTAAAGGCAAAGATCAGGAAGCTCTCAAGGTCCTGCTGTGGCTTCGGGGAGCTGGCACTGCGTATCGTGGAGAATTTGAGAGAATTAAGAACACCACATACACGGTATTGCATTTTGGAGATAAATGGACATAATGTAACAAAGTAAAAGACAGGAAACTAGAGAAAGATGGACTGAAGACGAGCCAGCTGAGTTTGCAGGTGCAGACCATCTTGTAAGTTCTCATCCCTGAGGGCAGAGAGGACAGCTTCGATATCCATACACTGGCCGCAAACCACACTTGCAAAGCAGGGATAACGAGTGCAACAACCAACAATTACCAAGCTGTTACCAACTGATAATTAAGATGACTGCTATCATGTAAGATGGCAACCTATTTATACTACCCCACCCATCTACCCCTTACTACACGACTCACTGCCCCAGGACCACTTTACCACATTCCTCTGTGTACGCTACCCTCACACTTACATGTCCCTGTTCTGCCTAGGCCTTCCCTGGCTCCTCATGGTCTTAATCACTGATGTCTCATGAAGTCCATTTCCATCCTCTAGACTCACTCTTTGTCGTGGGCTGAAATCAAACTCCCGTACTACTACAAGCCCATTCTCATTGCCATCCTTATGAGATTCCTGCAACAGCTCTCTGGCATCACACCTATCTTAACATATCTGGAGTCCATCTTTGAGAGGACCTCTGTGATGGTGAGTATCTTAAAAGTTGTCCAGTGCTTAACTGCAGTATGTGGACTGTTTAACAGAATGTGTCATATCAGACTGTGTTTGGCTATTTATTAGTGAATTATAAACCTCTGGACAGGGAATTATTTGGAGAGAAAAATCTCAATCTCTGAGAGAATTAACTTTAGTAATGCATCACCCCATCCTCTCCCAAGCCCCTTGTGCTTAATTTGGGGACCAGTCACTTCCCAAGATTTTTAATAGTATGTTTGCTTCTTCCTATATTGTGTGAAAAATAAAATTAAATGTAGAAATCTACACCTCATATTCATGTGTTTACCATGGTCGCTCCCTGTCAGTCACCGTTACAAGCTCTGACCTTCGCACCCCGAGAAGAGGGATTCAAATTAAACATTGGTTCTGTTTCTTCCGTTCGTTTGCAATTGCTTTGCCATGCTAGAACTGGGTTATGATGCATTTGCAAAAGCATTAATATAAATGTAAAAGAAACCGAGTATCCCATGAAAAAAAGGTTATAGCAATTTCATTGTTTTATTCAGTGGTGTAAATTCCAGAGGAGTGACCGCTCCCCTTTTGTTATTTATCTGCCAGCTGCTCTTGTAGCCATCAGATCTTTGTTTTATGCCATTGCAGGGCCGTCTTTAACACTGGGCAAACGGAGCAGCTGCCCTGTGAGCCCCGCTGCACTCCACTTTTAATTTATCTTCCGGATGGCCCGCCAATGCAATTGTGCCCCCACATATTAGGAAGGCCCACCGGGTGGCCCATGCACTAAGGACCACCCGGAGGTCATTTGTAAGCAAAGGCCCAGTTGTGTGCTGTGGTGCTTTAACAGCGCGACCGGGCCCCTTGTTTTTCGCCATCCTGGGAGGAAGTAACATCTGTGAGTTTCTTCCTCCCACAAAAGAGAAGAGGAGCGTGCAAGAGAAATGAAGGAGGAGGGCTGGGCTGAGGGACCCCCGACTCCCAACAGCCTCAGCCACCTGTGTGGACACTGGGGACATCACCCTCCAAGGAGAGTGGGTTTAAAAGTGTAAGTTTGTATCAGTATGTCTATTTAAGTATCTGTCTGTGTTAGTGTGTGTGTGTGTGTGTGTGTCACTATGTCTGCCAATGTATGTGTCTGTCTGTGTGAGTATGTCTGTCAGTGTATGTGTATGCCAGTATGTCTCAGTGTATGTCTGTGTCTGTCATTATGTCTGTCAGTGTATATGTCAGTGTGTGTGTCAATATGTCTGTCAGTGTATGTCTGTTTGTTTCAGTATGTTTGTCAGTGTACGTGTCTGTGTGTGTCACTCTGCTTGCCAGAGTATGTGTCTGTCTGTGTCAGTATGTATGTCAGTGTACTTGTCTATGTGTGTCACTATGTCTGCTAGTGCATGTGTCTGTTAGTATTTCTGTCAGTGTATGTGTATGCCAGTATGTCTGTCAGTGTATGTCTGTGTGTGTGCCAGTACATCTGTCAGTGTATGTCTGTGTGTGGGTCGGTATGTCTGTAATTGTATGTGTCTATGTGTGCGTGTCACTATGTGTGCCAGTGAATGTGTCTGTCTGTGTCAGTATGTATGTCATTATGTCTGCCATTGTATGTGTCTATCTGTGTCAGTATGTCTGTCATTGTATGTGTGTGTGTCACTATGCCTGCCAGTGTATGTGTCTTTCTGTGTTAGTATGTCTGTCAGTGTATGTCAGTATTTCTGTCACTGCATGTGTCTGTGTGTAACTATGTCTGACAGTATATGTGTCTGTGTATCTGTATGTTGTCATTGTTTGTATCTGTGTATTTGTATGTTGTCAGTGTGTGTATCTGTGTGTCTGAGTAACTGCATTTGTGTCAGTGTTTGTATCTGTGTGTCTGTGTTAGGTTCTGTATCTGTTTGTCAGTATGTGTATGTTTGTCAGTATGTGTATTGGTGTGTCTGTATCTGCATATATGCCAGTGTGTATATCTGTGTGTCTGCATATGTTTCAGTGTGTGTGTGTGTATCTGTGTGTGTATGGGTATCACAGTATGTGTGGCAGGGTATGTGTAAATGTGCATACATCTCAACATTGAAACACCAACACTACACACAAATACACCCCTGCATTCAAACTTCAATGCTACATATAAACACATTTATGCATCACACTTCTTTATTTTACACCAAAATAAAATGTCAATACAACCCTGCATTCCAAAACCAACACTAGACATAAATGCATACTTACATTCAAACACCCCCCTACATTCACACAAACATACTCCTCCATACAAAAACATGCTTACCGTCAAACACTACTGAACACAACCCTGGGGAAATGGTAGAGCCCCAGCTGTCAAAGCATTGTTAGAGTTGCACAACAGACCTTTTAGCTACTGTTGCAGTAGGGGAGCCCAAACAATTTCTTGCATTAGGGCCCTTTTGTCAGGGTTCTCACAGATGGCCAGGCGTAGCCTCCGCATAGGTATCCAACAGGGGATTTGAACCTGGGTACTTTACTGTCATGGGCCTGCTATCCGCTTTTGAGCCACAGCAGTTCTGTTTATTTTGTGCTGTTCTAGCCCTATTAATACTGGCTAGGCCTGCAGCACTGGGGGCTGGACTTCATCTGTGGTCATTGCACGTGTTGCTGTTAAAATTGCTCTCCAGAAGAGTTGGAAGCGGCTTAATTTAGAACAGAAGTCAAAGGATGCTATTATACAACGAAGAAAGAAACTTAAGCTTGAGATGTAGTTGGAGATTGGGCCACTAGGTGGCATATTTGTTTATTATGCGCTTTCAAAGCTTATTGCTATACCTATCTGGTGTCTGTGTTCAGAAAATTTGGATTTGTCCTGTAAACTGTTATAAAATTAGGGCAATATAAAAAGATCTGAAGTATATGCATCATTCTCTGACCTTTTTTTCTTATGCTTTGTCTTTCCATCAGAAAAGTAGGCTTGATGCTACCCTAGTGGGATTTGTAAGGTTATTCACGGTGCTCATTTCCGCAATCATTATGGATAAAGCTGGCAGGAGAAAACTACTCTTCATATCCAGTGAGTGGTCTTGATGTGGTGTTTCGGGGTAAGAATGGTTTACCAAGTTGAGCTAGTTTAATGTGGAGTTCCTTGTGTAATTGTGATCTAAAAAAACAATGCATTTAATTTATATATAAAAAAAAACCATAGATCAGAATAGTTCACAGCAGAATAATTAACACTTTATACACATTAGGAAACACAAATGTAAATGGTCTGTTGGTTTATCAAGTCATGGTGGGGTGCTCCTTGTAGGAATGGTTAGTTATTATAAGATGCATTGTTTTATAGATCCGAAAGCACAAAATAAGTGGATATCAATATGCATGTTAGGTAGGAAATCAATCATTTAACAGTTCTGTTGGGCTACAGTCCATGAAGGATGAAATGAACACTCCTGGTGCCTAGGAACACCGCACTGTGATGGAATCAGTCCATGCCTCATGCTCCTGTCATGGAGCTCGATAGGAATCCATGGCCGTATTTGTTTGCATTATAACACGGACTCTGTTTTCTTTCAGGTTCATTAATGTTGGCCTCTTCTCTTGCCATGGGACTATACATCCATTTCACGAAGGACATAGACCATCACAATTCCACCAATCTCACCATCATCACAGCTAACCAAGGCTCATCTCCAGATCACATCAACTATCTGTCTTACATCCCACTGGTCTGTGTTATGTTATACATTATAGGTGAGCACCAGGGAGGACACTACTGGAAACAACAAACTCCCAATCTAAAAAAACACATCACCAATAAGATATGTTCAACTTGCATAATGGATACACACAATAACCATACCATTTGGAAGAGCTGGTAAGGGGAGCACTGGGAGGCAATCACCCTTTGGACACAAGTATACAGGGGTTTTAAACTGCAGCCTCCTAGCACCATTCATCAGCAACTGGAGGTGCGCTGGGATGTATGTTGGCACAATACTGAGAGTGTGAGGCAGTAGACATGAATTATACAGCACTGTGTGAGTTTGTACAATATCAGTGCTGTCCTTGTCTGTACTGGAACACTGTGATATTTCTTAGTTTATTGTAGAAAATAGAGCAGCCCTGTCTGCCAGATGTATGTGTTTGGAAGAGCCAGGTGAGAGGAGACATTGGTGCCAACTGCATTATGGGAAAGAGAGTCTGCATCACTTAGGCATATACAGATCTCCGTGAAAGATCCTTTATACATCACAGGTCATAATAGAAGAAAGAAATGTTACTTTGTGACTCCAGCAACCTCCATCCGACAAACTCATATAATGTCTGCATAAGTTTTCTGTGAAAAAACACATTTATTTGTACTTGCCTCCAAAGCCAAAAGTATACCATGCATGTCCGTATACCATGCATTTACCGGGTACAGCAGGTAAGAGATTACCTGTGCTTACAAGTGAAACTGTTATTACTTATTTTAATATTTTGTTTATCAAACCACTTTTATATTAGAAATATGTGATTTGTGAGCTCTGAAAAATTGAATTCTCTCTCCATGGGGTTGGTTGCAGTAATGAGGACGGAGCATATATCTGTATTATAGGATTTGTTCATAGATCTCTCAGGGCTTTTAAACAAACAGATCGGCTCATTTTGAATTCACTTGGGTGGGCTCCGATTTGTAACATTTAGGGGATAGTAAATTTAATGAATATTAATATGCCCAAGGTTTTGCATATAACTTGCTGTAACGTTTTTTTAATTTTCTTACAAAAAAAATATATTATGAATACAATATTGGAGTTTTACAAATTTCCAAAGTAGTGCTGTCACATCTGTTGCTTTATTCCCACTGAGCATAAACTTCAAGTATACATTTTAAACATATTCAAATATTAAAGTGGAAACGTTGTATCACAAAAAGATTTTTATTTTGCATAGAAAGTGTGCATCTTCATTTTATATATAATATATACAATTAAAATACATTGCGTATTATCACATCATCGTCTGAAAATGGTCCACAATTAGGCCCAAACAGAGAGTACTTAAAAAGATGCCCAAGGGATTGTTTAAGCATCAAACCAGTAAGCAGAATGTTATTGTTAAATCCACAAATTATTGCAGTAGAACATACCAGACACTGGCTGGACAGCCATGGTACAATACAGGGCAGCACTTAAGGAAGACAGAAGAGTCAAGGTTTTGGAGAATAAACAAGGAACAATGTAGATTAAAAAACAAAAACTAAAGTCACCTGTACACCATACTAAACACCTATGCCCAACAATAGAGGTTTTTAGTACCATTGTATGGCCATTAAAGAGTAACCCCAACCTGCCCTTTTAAGGCACATCTCTTATTCTGGCTGGGGGCCACAGGAGCTGTTGCCCTTGTTGCAAAATTCTTTGGGGTGCAAAATTTCAAAAGTAAAAATAAAAGAAAATAGTAATGATAAATAATAAATGGCACCCCACACAGAACATCTGCCAATGTTTGAACATTCTACACAGTTTTTTAACATGACAGGGCAAATAAACGTTGCCACGTAACATTTTACAATAATTTTCTTGCTAATTACAGCCATATTTTCCTTATATTATCCTATTAATAGCATGATTTCCGTTTGAAGATACCACCATTAAATCATGCTATTAATAGGCATTGCATAAATGCCTATTAAATAGTATCATGTAACAGTGCTTAGATAGCTTCGCTCCTAATTATTGCGTAATTTTTAAAATCCACTTCACAACTAATGTAAGGTGTATAGACTATGCGCATTATTTTAGGCATGAGGTGGATTTGAAAGTTTACGCAATTATCAGCATCACATAAATCATGGAGACGAGGCGGTGGGGAAGGAGGAGCGAGGCTATCTAGGGGCTCATTAAGGGACTTGGGGAGTCTTAACTGTCCACGGGTCAGGGGGTGCATTACTTGCCTTGCCCTGGGTGCGTGCAATGCTAACAATTCACCTCAGCTTAAAGGAAAAGTCTGTCGTGGGACAGAAAGGTGTATTTTTATATATTCCTACAAACTAATTAACCCTTAACAGGACATAGACTCATGGGGTGGGGCAGCAGCGATATAACATGGCTGCATAATACAAAAGCTAATAAAAACACAGAACTGATCCCTGAACACAAACTACTACTGCCCTTGTATAGTAGAATAGAGCAGTAGCTATATCATACCTTGATGTTGGCAAGTAAGCTTACATTTTAATGACCATTTCAGTGTTACTAAAAATCTCATTTTAGTGTATATTGTGACTTTGTATAGAATACAGGTAACTTTATTGGATTTTTTTTGTTTTTATATATATATTAAAGCATTAGCTATTGCTGCTGCCCAAGAGTAGTTGGCGTTTGAGTGCATGACTAATATATTCATTTTTAACATGTTATTACTTAATTGTAATGGCTTGGACAATGCAGAGTGGGTTTTGGACATTGCAGGGTGGACTATGGACCACAGAAGGCACAGCCTTTCATTGTACAACAAAATCTCCCAAAATACAAACAGAGATCCAATGCATTCCTCACTTTCTTGCCTAGAGCTCCCCTCTTTCCACTAGTCTTCCTTTTCATGTTTATATCATTCCTTGCACGTTGTATCTGTATTATACATTTTATGTGCGTATCATGTTAGATTCGATTCTGGTATCTAGAGTTCTATTTACACCTCTGGTATAACGCCTAGTTTCAAAGCATAGGCAGGGGAGACTCTCATGAAAGTCAGTCCAATTGTGTTATCACATTTGATATTTGGAATTATGCAACGCTTGGGATTTTCATTCTTTAACAAATTACCCAATAACCATACAATTGCAAGCAATTCATTTCTATGCTTTTTTCTTTCAGCTCTGCTTATCAGTGTTACAAGCTAAAACCATTTGGTCCATGTGTTTAAAATGATTAGACATTAGGTTCATAGTCTGCCCTGGAATGACTGGATAAGTACTTCTTAAGAGATTGGTACCTCTACGCTGTGGTACCACTGATATTAGTTGACCTTGAAATGTTCTTCTTACTTGGTATATATTAATTCCAAATAAGACATGTTGTAAGCACCATTTATCTTGTGTGTCTTTAAAAAAAATCATGAAATGAAACACCTATTAAGTGCATTTAAGGTTTCACGTAGAAGGGAAGTCTTGAGGTGTAGTGAGTGGTTCCCATTTTATTGATAGGATATCTTGAGGGACACAGATGGTTCTTGCTGTATTGGATGGAACTCTTGAGGCACACAGATAGTTCCTGCCATATTGAGGGAAGTTTTGACCCACTGAGAGGAAATCTTGAGGTGTAACGGAAGTTCCTGCCTTGTTGGGAGAAAGTCTTGAGGTGTAATGGAGGTTCTCACCAGGAGATTTAGCAGAAGTTTAACTTCTGAGCACAAGTAGCTTCACTGTAAACAATATATGGTCTCCCTTCCAGAGAGAGGAGGTTAAAGAGGCAAGATCACAGGACCCATGCGATAATATCCTATATAAATAACACGGGTCTTCCATTTTTACTTTTGTATGCCCTTGGGGACAAAATTTTAAAAGTTGACTTTTGCTCTCAGCTGAAGCACACTTGCCCAATGAAGAAGCCAAATAGGTGGTCTGTGTCGCCATCGTGAAACAAAGCCAAGTCCCGTAGAGGCAGCAGAGATGTGTCCAAAGGAGCAAAGTGGAGAAGAGTTTCTGTTCGATTGTATTGTTCTTCATACTGTTGAAAGAATACATAATTTGTTTAGACTTCATCACAGTACCCACTGTAGCCAACATAATTTAGAATAAGTATTGGTTGGGCCTCCATGATAATTACATTGTTTAAAAGAACAGTGCAGAGATTTTGGGACCTTGTAAGAAGATATTTCCAGCCGCCACCAGCTTCACAACCCTCGCCAGAGACATCAAGCCCACGACAGGCTTAATACAAGTCAGAGGACTCTAGCCACCATACCCCCGGACTCCATCCCGACTGGGAACTGGAAGAGCACCAAAAGGGGGGACCACTGCCTTACTACAACTATCACAGACTCGGATAGGGGCTGGAGATGGAGACATACCACACACTCAGAACACAGCAGGGCTGCCCCAGATAAATCCCGCAACCAACCCCGAGCAGGGCCCAGACAGGGAATCGGGTGAAGAACCTCATAGCAAGGGACAGCTGGATTAATGGATGCCGACCGCAAGCTACCACAGCCGATGACTAGTAAATATAACACTGGACAATAACAATAGAAAATGTCTAGCTTTCACCATGTTTGTATCATATTTTCTTCCCTACTTGCACCTGCATAGTTCAGCATTTAGACATGAATAGATAGCCTGACAGGAGTGAATTGTATTACTTTAATAAGCATTAACGTGACCATAGCTTACGTTTTATACATGCACCTACGAACGTGTGCCTAGACGTTGAAATGTATTAATCATCATTGATATTACCTACATAGGCCTGCATAGCTTATGTTTTCAATAGATGCACTCTCTTGCTTTGTTTCTTAAATATGTTCCATTTTATGGTAGCATGACTTACACTCTTTCACACAAAGCCGGCTCCAGTGACATACTCAGCCTAATTTAACTATAATGGCCAGCATGTAATGACTTACTCGCAAAAGCGCCTGTTCATTTTCATGTACGACTAAATAATAACAAAAATGTGCATGTCTCTCATATACCCCTATGTAAAATATAAATGTGGAACGCTAGAGGATTGCCTTTGGGGTACCTCACAAGCGAATGTTATATGTCTGCGCACAACAAAATTATTATTTTTTTTTTAAATGTCAGAGCAACAGTGCTTTGTGAATATCAGTGTACAATACTGTATCTAAAGCTAGAGTCTGCTATGAAACTACAACATGTTGTGAAAACTGCTGTCTGTTTCAAAACTATAAGTCAGTGTCAGCACAGGCTGCCTGCTTTTAATACTTAAATATCAGGACTGGTGGTTTGCTTTAAAGGGACCCTCCACTCACCAAATAGAACATAAATAAAAAGCACTGTTTAGTAGATATACCCCAAATGAAAACTTGCACGCATTTAATTCTGCATTTTTACATTTGGGGTATATAAAAACAGCTTGCAATAACTGCAGTTCTCCGGTCTGCAGCCTTTACAAGACCATTGCTAACCCCGTCAAAACTTTCTGTGGCTGTCTAGACTCCCCAATACAGTTCAGTGAGAAGCCTTTGCAAGGCAGGTGCTCTTGAGTTTAGTTCAACTGAGCTAACCAAACCAGGAAGTAACAGGACCGTGTGTCTGATTGACAGCCAGGAGGGGTGTAACCAGGTTAATTTATAAACGTGTACATTTCTATTGAAATATGCACTTTTTTCTAAATGAAAACAATAGGACACACTCTTCAGAAATAAAGCTTTTCAGCAAGCTAAACTGAGTGATCATTTAATACATAGGCCCGTATCATCACAGGGTGTCTGCTATAAAAGGAATGTCATTTGAAATAAAACTATTCATATGTAAGTTCAAAAATGAATCCCCCATGTCAGTAAACAAAATTTTACAGAATGAATAACTTTTCGTTATATATTTGTTGATACGTGATGATAAATCTCATATATGTTAATCCTGCAAACCCCAGCATCTGTACCTCACAGCCCTGCAGAGTAACGAGGAAACTCTGATCCCGGGTATCAGTCAGGAACTTGACATCCTTGTCCCGAGCAGCGATACCTTGGCTAGCCTGGCACAAATACCGCATCTTCTGGTATACCTGGATGCTCTGCAACCTCAGAAAACGCAGCTGGACGACACCTAAACCTCTGTACGTGAACTGTAAGAGGGCAGAGAAATGCGTGAACACCTCAATCAAAACAAAATGGCAACAATATGACACAACCACAAATCACCCTGACACCGGCACACAGTGTTACTCTGGCATCGGCAAGTGTTAATAATAATGGTTTGCCTGTGATATAACATCATTACATTGAGCAATGGAGGCTAAAATAAAACTGTGTTTCTACCCGCTGTCATTCACTTAAGTCAGAATTGCTGGAAATCCAACATGATTCCCAGCAACGTGAATTTAGGCCAAATTAGAGAAATTCTCCTATTAATTCTGTTTTCATTTTGACTATGTTGGCCATAAATGTGAAATTCACTTTGAAGTAAATTTCAATTTCATGAATAACGCTGTGTATTTCACCTCTTGTACATCACCGCGTAATATGTTGGCACATTATAAATAACAGATCATCCTGTAAACCTTCTTTGATGTATTCTCATTTCATGGTTCAGAGAAGCCACTTTTATCTTACTGTAAAACCCTCGGGTAGAGTGCTGAACCACTGGAATCCATCTTGTTTCTGATAGCTATGAAGCCACGCTTTAACAGGGATCTAGGGGACAATAAGTAAAACATCTGTCGCAGAATGCTTGATAGTTTGTCGCAAATTAAAAAAACAACAACTTAGGAACATGTAGCTTTCATTTGAGTATTGGAAAACTTCGCCCACTTACCTGGCCCTCCTCGGGAGGTACACATGTCTCACCTCCTGCAGTGAAATTACAGAAAACGAGTAGAGAATCTCCTGGACTCCCCTGGTTAGGATCAATGTAATAATAACCTGACGGAAACATATTACAGCATATTATACGGGGATGTGCCCACAGAGCAAAATACCATCTAACCTTAAATATTAAAAGAACACTCAACACACATAACACACTTTAGCTTGCTGAGGTGCTTTATGTGTGAAGAGTGTGTTTTTTTTGGTATTTTATGAAAAGTGCAGATTTCAATAGAAAGTGACACTTTTATAAATGAACCTTGTTACACCCACTCTGGCTGTCAATCAGACACCTGGTCCTGTTACTTCCTGGTTTGTTTAGCTCAGTGGAGCTAAACTCAAAAGGCAGCAATTGCTCAGAGCACCTGCCTTGCAAAGAGTTCTCATTAATGTGCATTCTGTGATTGGACAGCCACAGGAAGTCTGGGCGGGGTTAGAATGGAAGGGTTTGCAAAAGGTACAGACAAGAGATCTTGTTTGTAGATATACCCTAATGAAAAAAGCATAATTCATGCATGTATGTTTTCATTGGGGCACATATACTAAATAGTGATATTAAAAAAATGTTTTATTTGGCAGTTAAGTGTGCTTTAATTTTAAAAAATAGGTAAAAGGTAGTACAGGGACAAGGAGGAAAAGGAATCTTGGCATTAGGGTACGTCTGGATACAGCTGGCACGTCTCTTGCCCATGCCTATGATTGTCAAAATAATCATAAACCAACCAGTTAGAAATACAGGTGCAGAACAAATCTGTTCATCACAGAACAGGTGTAAGCTACCTGCAGAACTCCAAATGTTGTGGACTACATCTCCCCGGATGCTTTGCCAGCATTATGGCTGTAAGAGCATTGTGGGAGTTGTAGTCGACAACTACTGGTTGGAGTGCTGAAGGCTGCCTACCCATGTTTCAGGGTTTGTTGGGGAGCTTAGTAGTCTTAGAGAGACATATCACCTAACCTAATGAAAGCATTTTATAGATCAGGGAGCGTCGAAAATTTAAGAGATTTATTTATAAAACGTCTCGTTTGTGTGTAGATTACCCTATTTCCTAATTCACTGTTCAACAAGATTTTTTTTTCTTCCATTAGTGTTAGATTTGGGGTTGGTATCATTACTTCTAATATGGAGCCACGTTAAAAATTAGGAAAAAACAACCCTTAGCTTAACGCTCTGCCTCCTTCAGAAAAAAAACAAGAACAGTAGGCCCCATTAAAAAAGTGGCACTGTGAGTCCAACCAAATAAAGTAAGTGATGGAGCGAGTGACTGGGAAGATGCAGACCTACCATCAGTGAGCTGAGGCTGTACTAGCTGTAACTCTTTGCAGGTACTCGCTGGGTTTTCCTTAGTGCCATCTGGTGGAGCAGCCAAGAGCTTCAACTCTTGCTCCAGGCTCTGCAGGAGACTCCATGGCCCTTCTCTACTCCAGGTCTCATTGTGTGGAGGCAAATGCTGGGAGGAAGAGGAAGGGAAGGAACCCTTAGATGTATCCTGTTAAAAATGCCTTGTTGTCATTGTGATAACGTCTTACAATATTATGTTTGTATACTCTTCCTAGCAGTGCTGGTGAATCCTTTACTCTGGTTGGAATCATGCAGTTCTAACACTCTCAGTAATATAAATATATCCAAAACGCAAGATTAAGGTGACACCCAACCATGGCAAATTCCTCATGATATTCAAAAGACTGTATTATTAGTGTCAGGTTCCCTTTCATGCGCTTCTACTACTTTCTGTGTCTAAGAAGACATCAATCCAGCGTTGTACCATCAAACCACCAAAGTCACTTACCTGTAAGCTTAGAGCACTTATGTTTAGATTAGGTCCTGGGGGACCAGGCGGACCGGGAGGGCCCTGCAAACAGACAGAAACAACAGACGTGTGAGAACAATTTTAAAGTAACTATCAGTTCATGCGATTGTCCAGTTGTTAATTTGACATTTACATTTTATATTAAATGATTGTACTTCTAATTATGAATGTATATGTATATATGCCTAGTTTGGTCTAAGCTGACAAGCTAGCACACTGATACTGCATATGTACAATTATATCCAATCACATGACTTCACACACAGAGCTGCCACAGGCATGTTGTGCAAAGCAGACATAGCTACATAGCTAAGACTTGGAAGCTCCATTCACATTTCTAGGTTCATATTAATTTTTCTCCACTGAGTTCATCAGCTAATTACAGTTGTTATTAATTATGCTGCGATTAATGGTATAAGATCTGTGCGCTTCGTCCTTACAGGTGATCCAGCTGGTCCTTTCTGACCCTCTGGTCCTTCTACTCCTTTCAGTCCCTGAAATGAAAGTAAAACACATATTAATAGGGCAGGCAAATAAAATTTGTAAAACACAGTAACGCTTCTGGCAGAGATCTCACCTTCAGTCCTTCTGGTCCCTGGAAAAGAAATATTTACAATGAGCCATAGTCGGTATGTAAAATGCATCGGTAAAAGAAAATCTTTAGGTACATGACCTAAAATGTGAATGATCTGGTAATAATTGACAAGTAAATTAGTGGATAATAATCTGTATGTAAAATGCATAGGTATGAGATTCCTTAATGAAGGTTTGTTTCATCTGATCATGTGTCTATCTGTCACACTTACTGGTTCTCCCCGTGGACCAGGAAATCCTCGTGGCCCAAGAAGGCCGATGAAACCCTGGTAAAAACAGAGTTACACTGGTCAATATTCTCCAATATCCTAGCTAAACTCAGAATGACATCTGTGGCTTATCAGTGACTCTTGCTTGATTCAAAATATTGTAAAGAGCTACGGAATCTGTTGGCGCTATATAAATGGCAATAATAATAAATAATAACTAAATTTGGATTTCTAAGATTTGCAGTGTTGTACCTGATCCCCTTTCTCTCCTTGAAAACCTTGATGTCCTGGAGGTCCTTGTTTTCCCTAAAAAAATAAAAAAGCCGAACGTCTGAAAACGAAAAGGGTTAAAGCAATGGTGTTAATGCTGTGGAGCACAGTTAAGAGCAGATCTTTCAGACCTTCATTCCATCTTCTCCTTTGACTCCAATTGGTCCATCCATGCCAAGTTCACCCTGAAGAAGAGCTAACATGGTCACAGTCCGGAAATCAGCTTGATGCATTTATAATACAGTGTGACAAATACTCCAATTCAACCAATAAAGAACTAGACGTTACAAATTGCAGTAGACACCTGTAGACATAGGGTCTGGATTTACTAAATCTAATGTTACTTCACTGGTCACTGTAACAGGATATGTCAAGAAAATGAAAAGATAAATTTCTGCATTAGTTAGTGTAGTCAGGATAAAAGGTGACATAGATTCTGAAGAACTTGCTACAGCTCAGAACCTTGTGCTAAAATATATTGCAGTATTTGATCTTCGATGACCGCTGTTCCATTGACCTATGATTGTAGTGAAGATCACAAACATTCATTCACTATGACTATGACTAAGTGCTTACAGCATGACAATTGTATATGCTTTGATTATTGGCCAAAAAGTTGAGTTTTTATACAACTTGTCTATTGATGTTTATACTTCATAATGTATCTCTCAGGAGACTCCTAAATGTGCATTCAAATTTATGAATACTTTGTGAGCCAGCATGATAATTGTATGTGTGCTCCAATCATTAATTCTTCAGATCATGAATCAGTCAAGCAAATTGGGCACCTACTTTCATACCGCTGAGGCCTGGATCTCCTTCTTGTCCTCTGAGTCCTGGAATACCCTGAAATAAAAGCAAATGCATTGCCATCTGTAGTGTGTGAAAATTCCCACATACCACCACAAGGGTTGTTACTTACATAAGGTCCTCTGGGTCCTGGTGGTCCTTGTGGTCCCTGGTTTCCTTTAGCGCCCTGTAACATGACGTTCATTAGATCATTAAATGAGATCAAATCTTCAGGATGCCCCATATGCATACCACAACACTGGCAATCTTACCTTGGGACCAATCAGCCCTCTTGGTGGCCTTGGGCCAGCTCTTCCTCTTTTACCCTAAGTAAAGGACAATATTAAAGTTCACAATTTTAAGGGCAGATAGGCCTGTCTTCAGAACACGGTTCATGCATGAATTAAGGAATACTGATTAAATGTCTTTATAGAGGTATGTTTTACTTTAAAAAAAAAACCATGGCTTTAAACCTTTAGTGGCCAGACCCGTGGTTTTCAATAGTTCTGTACCTTTCTGCCAGGACTTCCTGGAGTGCCAGGGCGGCCATCCTTTCCTTGATCACCCTTCAAATGACACACAAACAATGGTTATTGCAATTTAGAACCTCGCTCTATCAAGATTATGTATAAGAAGCAATTCTGAGACAAAAAAAAGACAGTAACCTACATCGATCGTTGCATATAGCTCACATTCCATTCGTAATGTTGACATACTATTGCACGGGGTGGAGTGGAAATGGGTGAGGAAGAAGAAATTAAATTAGGGTGGGTTCTGGTGTATATAGAAGTATATCAAGCTTGTCTAAAATGTATCATAATTTTATTTTAATTAAAAAAGGAAGAAAAACTAATTATATGAGATATGGTATTTAATTAAAATCAGCACCTTCCCTCCTTTCTGTCCCATTCTTCCTTCTTGCCCAGGGTTTCCAGCAGGTCCCTGGAAAGGGGTACAAAGCTATCAGGCAGAGCAATCACAAAGTATAGAAAACTTGACAAAGTAGGAATCGTTTGTCTGTGTCTCAAAATGAGGCTGTCAATAACAAATTTCTCACACGTACCACTTGTCCCGATTCACCTGGTTCTCCCGGCTGACCCTTTTCACCTTGAGGACCCTATCAAAAAGAGACATCAGTGGGTGAGTGTTTATTTAAATTTAGTTTACAAGAAAAAGTAGAGAAATTGGCAAAGTATAGACAGACATGGACTTGCCAATGTATAAAATGCATATATTATAGAAATGTTAGTCCCATTAAGAGTATGTGCCAGTGTCCTAAATGAGAATGATGTACAGAGGACCAAACCTCTGGAATAAAAGGGGAATCTTGTTAGTAAACCTTAACAAGAGGTCTAGTTTAGCAATTCAGCACTGGAACAATTCCTAGGCATAGAGGTACGTTTGGATTAATCACCATGGCAACAACTAGATTACCCCAAATTTAATTGAAAATGAGATGAGCATGCAAAAAAAACCAAAAAACATTGAGGAAAGTAAAGAGACATAAACTTTAAAATCCTGATGGGTAAATGACATGTTCCATTGTGGCACACGGTGCAAGACTGTTTAGAATGCGGCGTGGCAATGAACTGGCAGTAAAGATTCTGTATATTGCATGTCATGCTGGGTAAACATGGCGTGTGCTGTACGGTTTTACACTGGGTATTATGCCTCACCTCTTGTCCAGGTATCCCTGCCACACCCCATTCTCCCGCAGGACCAGGTGTTCCCTACAAGCATAAAAGATATTTTCCATCACATTGTGAGTCCACTTAACTTCATATTGGTTTTATGAGGACACTTCATAAAGGCTAGCTTTACCTGAACTCCTTTTTCTCCTGGTTGTCCTGTGTCCCCTTTGGGCCCCTCAACTCCACTAAGTCCAGGCTGCCCTTGAACACCTTTATTGCCAGGTGGACCCATTACACCCTACAGGATAAATGAAGAAACAATTAGAGTAGCCTCACAGTATCACATCATTTTCCCCACATACTCAACATGTCACTTACCGGTAGTGCCATTGGACCTCTGTCCCCCTTTTCTCCTCGTTTTCCAAAGAATCCCTGTTAAGACAGAAGGAATTATATCTAATCGAGTGTACAGCAAGCCACTTGTATAGTGTTTTCCAGGACATTAGTGTGACCTACTAAAGATGGACTATTGATACCATGCTCCCACATGTTAAAACTATGCATTATCTTTACTTAGCCTAGTCCATAATTATATTTAATATGATATTCAGTAAATATGTCATGGTTTATTATCTACATGTGAGCAGCTCTCATTGAAAGCCAAACCTGCAGAAAACATACCTTTATTCCCTGGGGACCATGAAACCCAGGCTCACCCGCAGAACCAGTATCACCCTACAAAAAAACAAGAACCAATGTGATGATAAAAGAATGAGAATTCACAGCAAGATGCAAGTGGTCTGAGTGAGAGGCCTACTTTTACGCCTTGACGTCCTGAAGCTCCCAGTGAACCTGGGTTCCCAATAGCTCCCTGTATAGAAGAAGAAAGGAAATAATAAATGGAGAGTCCTTAAGATGTCCAAGTCAAAGCAAAACCACACACCAACTAAACAATAGGAAGTTTATGTTTTGGGTTTTAAGCAGACCCCCATCACATTGTTTCATGCATGTATTAGGCCCATTTCACAGAAACTTACCATTAGTCCGGGAAGTCCTGATGGTCCAGTAACTCCCATAAGCCCTGGTGGACCCTGCAGAAGAACACTGCCATGAATGCAGAGTCAATTATATTTTGTCACAAATATAGGTGAATTTTGTTCTCCAACAACCAAATGACTTATCTACGTATATAATACAAATCCAGAATATCACCACAGTGATTATCAGTGAATTGTAAACATAAACAATACTTAGCTTTAGAATCACAATGCAGCCTCCCAAGGTCGTTACCCAAAACCGAGCTTTACACAATATATAAATAACCAGCAACAGATTTTGGGATACGGCTAAAATCTACGTATATATAACATTAAAGTACCAATTAATTATAATACATAATGGAATCTCAAAAGAAAATATGTAACGTGTCAAGCTGGAAGAACAAAATAGTATCCCATAATAAGTCTAGCTTTGATACATCACCAAAAAGACAAGAATTTTCCTTTAATACGTGAAAATAAAAACCTATAAGTATGCTAAAAATAAGGTCATCAGCTAAAGATAGTCACCAAGAAACCTTCCTGTCCTTTCTCTCCTTTTCCGCCTCTGCTGCCATATTCTCCCATCTCACCGCTTGGTCCAGGATTTCCAGGGCTGCCACGTTGACCTACATCTCCCTATAACAAATGGTAAAGGGTTATGTTCTGGATGGAAAATCCAACCTCTGCTTGAAAATGTTTTTTATACCAACCTTTTTTCCTCGTGCACCAGGGTCCCCATTGTCTCCAGGGTCACCTACATCCCCCTACATAAAGAAACCAGCCAGTAAGAAGGAATCTGCCACTACTCATACATCTCCTTACCCATCAGCTTTTGCAACATACCTCCTTGCCTTGGTCTCCAGGGGCACCTAGTAGACCTTGATGTCCTCTCTCACCTGGGTCCCCAGCAGGTCCAGTAGGACCAGGGCTTCCAGGTACACCAGGGTCTCCCTAGTATAGAATAAAACCTAGTGTAATTATGTCATTATATCTTAATAATACACATCTTAAAGTGAAATAAATCACTAATATTTGGAAAATCATCAAACCCTAAACATACAGAATAACTGAAAAAATCTTTGCATCTGTATCATACAACATAACATTCTAAACTTTCAGACATCCTTTAAATAAAACAAACACCTATACACTCAAATTTTTATACGTATATAAATCACATATGACACAAGGACTACACCAACCATACCACTTCATGGACAAGACTTATTTAATACCAACTTCTCAGATTTCACAAATCGCTATAGGCTCAATTTGTGGACTTTGGTAAAAGAAAATGCAGCTCCGTCCATATTGTATTGTACAAAGGACAAAGCTTGGTCATTACAAACATATATAAAATAGAAGAGCAAAGAGTGAAAATCAGATTCTGCCTACGAACCTGGTCTCCCTTTAAGCCAGCCGGTCCTTCATTTCCAATGGAGCCTGGTTTACCCTGGTACAAAGAGAGCAGTAATTAGCGTAGTACATACAACCAGAGCCAAATAAATAGATCTACACACATAAACACAAACACAGCACACAGACAAATGGAAACAAACTAAAAAAGTGGCAGATAAGGAAAAACACTGTCACATAATGTTTTAATATAACAGAATTACATCAACTTAGAAGAGATTTCACAAGCGTACATATTGTATGAACAATTCTGATTCGTTTTTGCTATTTTCTTTTGATAATTGTGCATTACATGTTCATATCTGATGGTAGGCAGGTAGGTAGAAGGATAGATTCCTATCCCTATGGAGGAGACGCTCTGATACGAAGCAGAGATATTGGCATTATGGGCTCTAGGATTCGATAACGGGCATATCATGTAATATATGATAAAGTGTTTAGGGAATGCACATGCCCTGGGCAAAAGAAATAAAACTAATCACTGAAATAAATTATAGGATGAGGAAATTAATTAATTACTGCACACAAATACACCGTACTAATACTAAACACGGTACAGTTATTGCACTTAACAATGAATTGTTCACTATGTAAAAAACGTTAATTAGAATAATTTCTCCAATTCAGTTTCTTTGGCCCAAAATGATTGACAGTGGAAAAAGCCTGCATTATCTTGCCACTGACAGCTGTCAACAATTAAGAAAGTTTGTGTAGCCACACGGTAAAACGCATGATCACACGCAGAATCACATGATATACGAAGCATTGTTTTTATAGCTGATTTCTCTGGCACTAAAAAAATTAATAGAAATTCACAAATATTAATCCACAGAGTGAATGCTGGCTTATACATACCATACAACCTAAACCACACATTCCCTTCTATAGGTATATGTATATTGTATACATATATACAGATAGATATATGTAAACATATAGAAAAGAAAGCGGATTTGTATATATACCCAGGAAAATGTTCAAAAACTAACCTGCTCTCCATCCAGTCCCCTGACTCCTGGGTCTCCAGTCACTCCAACTGGACCCTGTTAGGATGGAAAACAAAGGCTATAGTCCAAAAATACATATTTTATTTTTGTCTTCATATATTTGTGGTATAATTTTGACCCCAGGCACTCCCTTTTAGATTGAAACATAAAAAAACACCCTTACTTAATTTTATTCCAGACACAGTCGGAGCAGCCCAGTTCCCCACCTTTGTGGCTTGATGACTTCTCCAGTCAAGCACTGCATCCAATGCAGCTTTGCGAGAAGCTTTGGAAGCGACACCATGCCTACTCACGGTGTGCATGTCCACGAGCTGCTATAATTCAGCTTGTCGTTCATGACCTGCCGCCTCCAAAGACAGCACTGAGGTATAACGCATGCATGCTCATGTTGGGGCTGCTAGCATTGTACTGAGAAAATGTGAAAAACCAAGTCCTACTCAGTCGTGGACACGGAAGTGACATATTGCATAGCTCAAGAAAGACTTGCGTCCATCAAGTTCCGCCTTCCTCACATTTGTTTTTTGCTGTTGATACAAAAGACATCTTCTTGATGTCCGAGTGATATTCACTGAAGTTGTGGCTAACCCAAAATGTAAACACTGCTGTATCTCCAAAACAGCAATGATTTCCATTATGGGAAATTATGGTCACAGTACCAAGACCACTAAGATGAAGTGGTGCTTGTGTTGTCCCATTAATATTAGGGGAAATCTGCTCCAAAAATGAGTAATGAGATCTTCTGCAGAGCTTGTTTATGAAACATTGACCATTATGTTTGTTGTAAATAATATTGGTGACCGCAAGGAATGTATAAGTTTATAGGCTTTATACAATGAAAAAAAGACTCCACTCCACACCAAATCTTGATTAAATCCATAATTTTTATCACTCTATTCAAAATATGTACAGGATTAACTTACCATCTCACCTTTGTCCCCAGATGGTCCCTCAACACCAACGGGACCCTCTCGACCCTAAAACAGAAGGAGGCTACAGGGTAACACTAAATACTGACATACAAATGGGTCAATTTTTCTCGAAGCACAAAGATCTGTCGCTTACTTTATTAGGCATGCTACATGTAACTCAATATATAAAGCATAGAGACATGGTCAGGAGGTTTAGTTCCTATCTGAACTCATATTAAATTAAAAAGAAACGTATTTTAGTGGTATTCTTGTTAGTGTATGAACTTGTGATTCCAGCACCTCAGGAACAACTGACCATTGGAGATTTAAATGCATTACACACTCCATTATATGTATTATTAAATACATCAGACAAAGAATTCAGATGGTTCTGGTTCCACATAGTCTATGTAATAATATACGTACATGTAATATGTCATATTCTACATGCTAGACATGGGATGGAAGATAAAGGGATAGTTACTGGGTATCCTGTGGGTCCTGGGGCCCCTTCATCGCCAGTAAGACCTGGATTACCCGGGGATCCGACTTTCCCAGGCTCTCCATCTGGTCCTGTATTTCCAGGTGGTCCCTGCGTGAGAAGAACCAGCAGTCGATATACAATGCCACAGACACACAATGGAGCAGACACTGCTGACAGTTATAGAACTACCACAACCCCAGTATATAAAATGCAATTTAAGTATTTGTAGTGTAGGCCAAGCTTGCCTGATGGTTGGAACACACTTACCAGTGGTCCTGGTAAACCCTGTTCCCCTGGATCTCCAATCCGACCCTAAAATCAGAATAGTTATAGAAATACAAAGAGAAATAAAATTCCCAGACATATTGGGTTGCGTGTATTAAAAATGTACAACTGAAAAATATCATCATAAAAATGAACCGAAAGTAAAAACGTCCCACTAATAATCATTTTTGTACTGCCATAAAAATAGAGAATAAAATGAATGAATTAATAAATTGTTACTAAAATTACATGACCCTAGTAGCTTAATACACGAGATGTGAGGTGAAGCGAAAATGGCGAGAACACAGATAATGACTTGCCCTAGGACCATTGCAGACACATTACCGACTACTGTACTGTAGTTTTTGAAAGCCCATCTCCTAAGACTTCCATTTGTTACCTAGAGGTCATTGCCTCATAAGGATACCTGTACCTGTGAGGCCTTGGCTGGAGAGGTCTGTGGGGGACTCGATGTGTCTCCATACCTATTTTTGTCTATTTTAGTTTTTATTTCCTACAGATTGCAACAATATTCGAATATGCTGTTACCTATCTGCACACCATGATTGGATATGTAAATTTCACAAGCCTTCTTTACGCAATTACTTTATTAGAGGTTTGTAGCCTTGGACTGGTCCTGTAAGACCAAATGCTCTCTACTACATTGGGAACCTGCAAGTCTCATGATACCATGCTGATCTTTTCTGTTCTATTAAAAATGAAATAAAATTTGGTATTAATAAAGACATTTTAAAAATTGCTACTAATGCTAACAGCGTTGAAAAATTAAGGAACTATGATTTGTTCTTTTTTCGGGGATATTTTCAATTACGTCCCTCTTTTCCTCTCTCAGTTCCAAGATTTCAAGACTAGCCATTTAAATTAGACCAGTCACTAATGAAGAAAGAAATGCATTGAATTTAGAATGGGAGGTGAAGGCGCAGATCTATGACTGTACCTGAGGTCCAGGAAGTCCTCGATCTCCTAGTGAGCCACGGGGACCCTATGAGGACAAAACATACTTATTACTTTTGTGAATAATGTTAGATTATGGTGAACTGTGAGAGTCTGAAGGTGTTATGTAAAGATTTAGGGAGGTGTCCTAATCAGAGCACCATATGTATGTCCAAATGTTAAACAAAACATCGCAGTTGGAATATGTAGAAATGATAAATAGAGTGGTACACATTGGGGTATTTATAAAGCAATGAATTTTAGCAAACTAAAAAACAAATTGCTTTGCCTAAACTGCGGCTCTCAGCTTTCAGTTCACTAAATGTTTAAGGTCGGTATATTAGCCCCATAAAGAGAACTAAAACATTAGAGAACATCAATTTAACAAAGGACACTTAATCTGCACGTAGGACAGCCTTATCCATCTGCAAATACCTTTGGTCCTGGTTTCCCTCGTGCTCCAGGAAATCCTAGTACACCCGGCTCCCCCTATTTAATTAGAGAACAGTTGAGATTACAAACATTACCAAAAATAAAGACATTTTTCCATAACGCATAGGCATGCACAGTGCTGTAGATCACAAATCTCATCAGTCTATGATATGTCAACAGCAGACTTCAAATTTGCCTATACTTATTTTTATTAAGTTTTAGTAGTACAAGAATCGCGATTAATAAGGACAGACAATTTCCAGTTTGTGAATAATTAATAGGAAATTGATATCTGCATACAGGGGGCATGGCGGACGCAGGGATAGGAAGTGTGTTACCTTTTCTCCCGGATGTCCTATGCGTCCTCTTTCTCCAGGCGCGCCTTTGAAACCCTTGGAAACAAAAAGATAGATATTTTTCACGATTCAGGCACTAAAAGATTAAGCCCCACAAAGTGAGATATTGTGACAATTTACTCTTTATAGCCTGGGTGCTTAGTAAGGGTGTGCACAGATCTGTTTACAAAACAACACTTTATAGCAATTTTCAATAAAAAAAGCATTAAGAAATATTTGCTTTGTCTAAGTTAATGAGAAGTAATTCTGAAAAACAAGATGGCTATCCCCAGTAATCAGAATTTGACAAACAAGATGGCTCCCCCAACCAGTATTTGAGAACCACGATGATCGACCCTAGAATCCAGTATTTTCTGACTCAGGTCACATTTTTGTGCTGCATGCTCTGCAGCACACACTTTCCACACACATACATGGATCATGCAATAAAATATAAATCATGGATGATCTAAAGGCAAGCTTACAACACTTACATACATGCCTACAGGTCCTTGTGCACCTTCAGGTCCTTGCTTACCGGTAAAGCCCTGCAATGGGAATGAAAAACAAACTTATACACCTTAAAAGGACACTCCAGTTCAGAGTTGGTCAATACTGTATAGTACACTGCAACTGAAAAGTAGGTCTTTAATTATATAATCCCACCCAATCTAACTAACTGTAACCTAACCTACACAATGCACCCAACTTGTGTGGGAGCCGGGAGTGTCCCTTTAATAATATCAACCCACCCAGTATAACTAACCGTAACCTAACCTACACAGTGCACCTAATGTGTGTGGGAGTCTGGAGTGTCCCTTTAATAATATAAACCCATCCAGTATAACTAACTGTAACCTAACCTACACAGTGCACCTAACGTGTGTGGGAGCCTGGAGTGTCCCTTTAATAATATAAACCCACCCAGTATAACTAACTGTAACCTAACCTACCCACTAACTGTGTGCATCTAACGTGTGTGGGAGCCTGGAGTGTCCCTTTAATAATATAAACCCACCCAGTATAACTAACTGTAACCTAACCTACACAGTGCATCTAACGTGTGTGGGAGCCTGGAGTGTCCCTTTAATAATATAAACCCACCCAGTATAGCTAACTGTAACCTAACCTACACAGTGCATCTAACGTGTGTGGGAGCCTGGAGTGTCCCTTTAATAATATAAACCCACCCAGTATAACTAACTGTAACCTAACCTACACAGTGCATCTAACGTGTGTGGGAGCCTGGAGTGTCCCTTTAATAATATAAACCCACCCAGTATAACTGTAACCTAACCTACACAGTGCACCTAACGTGTGGGGCAGCCTGGAGTGTCCTTTTAATAATATAATGACTCTCTATTGTCCTGCTGTCTTGGGAGTAAGGTCAGTGTTTTTTTGCTTTATAACAAGGAAAATTGTAGCACATTTTAAGAAACACTCTTGCAGATGGAGTAAAAAAAACTAACTAGACCATCTTAAAGGACAACTAATTAAATTATTCAAATATTTACTTATTATTATTCAAAAATTACGTTAAAACTTAATTGATATGAATATTTTTCAAATAATATATATTGTTTTTTATTTTTTAGAAAATTGCACTTTTTATCTGGCTGAGAGGCCATGTTGGGTCAGACTGTAGCATTATCTGACCAACTGCTGCTCAACCTAACTTGCCTCCTGCTACAGATTCACACAGAGCAATCACTGCAGTAGTCAAGCTAGTTTGAGCAGCAGTTGGACAGGTAACAGTAGAGTCTGACCCAACATGGCTGCTTAGACAGGTAAAAAGTGACTTTTTTCCAAAAATAAAAATAAAAAAAATCAACATACAACTTTAAAAAATATATAATCAAGTTTCATTAAAAGTCAAAAACTTAAAATACAAATGGGTGCTTGGGACTAGAAAAACATGGTTGACTATTGACATAAGACAAAATAGACGACATAAAACAAATGTTATAAGTACACACTTAAGAGATATTAACAGTTTTTTCATCACACATCCGGTAGCTTTGTTATCTTACTTACCCTTTCCCCCAAGGGCCCTGGTGCTCCGTCCATCCCTTGTCTCCCTGGAGGGCCCTGCAAGAATATGGAAGAATTGTGTTATTGTTACACATGGGTCGGACTGTCCATGTGTTGAATAAAAAGAAAAGAAGGAGATACTCACTGGTGGTCCAGGCGATCCATCCATTCCAATATTCCCATGAGGTCCAGCCAGACCCTGTACAGTAAAAAAAAGGTTGTACTACAGTTTTAAGATGGGCTCTATATAATTAATATTCCTTTTAGATAATGTGTTAACCAGTTTCCCCTCGTACATGTCTCTCCTTGATATTACAGACTCCCTAACTCATGCTTTAAGCCATAGTGTTTCATACTAATCCAATGAACTGTACACAATTTAAGCAATAAAATATAACACTCCACAGCAAAGACTCCCATAACTAGAGGTGTGAGCCAACTGCTTAGTCATTTTTAAAACCAATTTCTATCAAAATCCCCACGCATTTCTCTTACATATTCAAAGATTACATGACACAGAGAAAGCTTGGATGAGAGTACATACGGTTAATCCTCTGATTCCAGGGGCCCCGAGAGAACCTGCAAGTCCCTGATCCAGAGAGAGGAAAAGAGAGTGTGTCAGAATATGGTTTGTGACTTGATGAGATTTGTTAAACTAGTAAAAACAGTTTGGATAAAGCACCTGTATAATACTTAAAGAGCGTAGAGCAAAGACGAAACATGCATACCGTCAAATAACGCAACTCTACACAACATGGCTGCTGCTACATCGATTTGTGGTCACACCGTACATAACAGCCTTCAGGATTACATAGCAAAACATCATAACCTACACAACATGTACCTTAACTTGTACCCTGGTGATCAAAACTCAATCACCTTCTTGTACTATGGTGGCTGGTAAACTTTAAAAGTGGTATTGGGCTAGACTCTGCCCTGGGAATGTGAATTTGCCCCCTGACTTTTTGGAATCTGCCCTTTTATGTACTCAACCCCAGAACTCCTGAGATATCATGTCCTGTGCAACATTGTAAAGCTATAGATACATGTATTTGGGAAACAGACACTTTAAAGCAGTCCGACACCCTCCATTCCCTGTTACTGTTACTCAATGACAGTCCTAGACGACAGGATAAAATGGAGGCCTGTCTTTAAACACCAAGAATAATGGTATCCCTGCGTGATTACGTAGTGTGTCGCTTCTTGTATAATTACACCCACTGTTCACAATACGTCACAGATAGGCCTCTCAGATGAGTACATTTTTGCGGGAAGCATGCAAATGCTTCATGCTGTGGGGCTCTGCACGAAAAGTGAGCAGTATGTAGCATTCAAATGTTGCGGGAGTAAAATCAACTGATTAATCACTGCTGGGACAGAAAAAAAAATACAGTGATTGGCAGATTAGCTGATTTCCCTTTTAGAAAAACATTGCAATATGGTAATCCTAATAACAACAACTAAATAAGTGTAACTTTAAAAACGGCCATGGTTACGCCTGCGGGTCATGCCTCTTAAAACTCACTCCTATCAACTCCCTGATGGCTAGGGCTGTGTATTGCTGCCAGACCCGCCATGTTTTCCTTGACCTCTGCTGATTCTTCAGAACATGAAAAATGCTGCCCTGAAGTATGTGGCCCTTATATAATGCGGGAGAAAAATCAACTAATCACTCAGTCAATGAGATCACCGAATTATGATTAATTAATTTCCCTTCTGCCGCCTATGAAGAGCACATTCTGCACGGCAGCACTTTTCATACACTGCCCCACCAGCACGATAAAGAGATATGTTTCCAGGAAGACAAAGTGGATGTTGGTGCACACACCTCTCTCACCACCACACAGAGATAGAAACCTGAAATTCATTCATGTACTCTAAGAATTTAGATGTATTTTAACATACTGAGATGTAATGTATGTGATTTGCAGTGCTTCTGTAAAGAAATATTCTCCACACACATTTCGGGGTCTTTTCACTAAACAGCGAGTTAAAAATGCACTATATTTATATATTTAGCCAAAATAGCTGAATTCACAAAAATATCTTGAATTCTTCTGAATTAGAAAGCTTTTTAGATATTTGCTATTATGTCCTACGTTAAGCAAGTCAGTATTAAGCTCACTGTTTAACTAGTCCAGGGAGATTTGTGTACTGATGTCTGGATGGAAACACATAGCCAAGCAGGGCTTTGTAAAGGAACATGTAAAAATGTGTGGATACAGTAACGCAGAGATTCCAGTCACAGCAACAGTGGAGCCAGGCATGACACCGGCCAGGCGAAGCCCCACGCCAGTCAGGGCAAACACCATGCCAGCCATGCCAAGGACCATGGCAGATAATGGGTAATTAGTGCATAGTGGGAACCTGTGTACCAGGCAGTCCTTCTGCTCCCTGCGGCCCCTGGACTCCTCGCTGACCCTGTAAGGAGAGAATCGGAACAATGAACGATCTAAAGCAAAATACACTCAAGCCCCAGCACTGTCTCACCAGCTAGGGATAGGGGTGCCATGCTTTCCTGGGCACTTATCACAACTTCATACTGATGGGAATTGCATGAAAGTTCTGCAGGGGAGAAAACAGCTAACTGTGACCATTCTTTTGGGGTCATTTCTGATGAATCATCTAATTCCCTAAGGAGAGTCAATCATTATTCATTCTAGTTTGCAATGGATACTCAATCTTTCATTGCAGAAGCAGAATATACTTTTAAGATATTTAGGGTGTGGGGCTTGCTGAGCCAATTAAATTTACACCACGTGTCCCACAGGTATAAAGCACATGATTATTATCCATGGACAAATAACTACCACATTATACTCGCTGTCATTGAAGATAAACATTTTTTTTTAAATATTGTAAGATTATACCACATATTCAGATGTCTATAATGAATTCACCATCCAGTTACTTATTAATTATTACTCACCGGAGGTCCTGGTATACCAGCAAGGCCTCTTTGTCCCATACGTCCCTGCAATTGACACAAAGGCATCTTATATGAGGGCCATTAACTGCACTTGACTTACACTGAGCAATAGACAATGACAAAAACATCTCATCATGTAAAAGAGCACCTTTAAGGTCTACACATGAAGCTGAGGTCTGTCGCTGACATGAACATGGTCTACACATGGAGCTGAGGTCTGTCGCTGACATGAACATGGTCTACACACGGAGCTGAGGTCTGTCGCTGACATGAACATGGTCTACACATGGAGCTGAGGTCTGTCGCTGACATGAACATGGTCTACACATGGAGCTGAGGTCTGTCGCTGACATGAACATGGTCTACACGTGAAGCTGTGGTCTGTCGCTGACATGAACATGGTCTACACGTGAAGCTGTGGTCTGTCGCTGACATGAACATGGTCTACACATGGAGCTGAGGTCTGTCGCTGATATGAACATGGTCTACACATGGAGCTGAGGTCTGTCGCTGACATGAACATGGTATGCACATGGAGCTGAGGTCTGTCGCTGACATGAACATGGTCTACACGTGTAGCTGTGGTCTGTCGCTGACATGAACATGGTCTACACATGGAGCTGAGGTCTGTCGCTGACATGAACATGGTCTACACATGGAGCTGAGGTCTGTCGCTGACATGAACATGGTCTACACATGGAGCTGAGGTCTGTCGCTGACATGAACATGGTCTACACATGGAGCTGAGGTCTGTCGCTGACATGAACTTAGTCTACACGTGTAGCTGTGGTCTGTCGCTGACATAAACATGGTCTGCACATGGAGCTGAGGTCTGTCGCCGACATGAACTTAGTCTGCACATGGAGCTGAGGTCTGTCGCTGACATGAACTTAGTCTACACATGTAGCTGTGGTCTGTCGCTGACATGAACTTAGTCTACACATGGAGCTGAGGTCTGTCGCTGACATGAACTTAGTCTGCACATGGAGCTGAGGTCTGTCGCTGACATGAACTTAGTCTACATGTGTAGCTGTGGTCTGTCGCTGACATGAACTTAGTCTACACGTGTAGCTGTGGTCTGTCGCTGACATGAACATGGTCTGCACATGGAACTGAGGTCTGTCGCTGATATGAACATGGTCTACACATGGAGCTGAGGTCTGTCGCTGACATGAACATGGTCTGCACATGGAGCTGAGGTCTGTCGCTGACATGAACATGGTCTACACACATGGGCTGAGGGTCTGTGGCTGACATGAACATGGTCTACATGGACTGGGGTCTGTGGCCCCAGCCTTGGACATGGTCTGCACATGGAACTGAGGTCTATGCAGCTGACATGAACATGAGGTCTACATGGAGCTAAGAGGTCTGTCCCTTTGACATGAACATGGTATGCACGTAAGACTGGGGTCTGTCCTTGAGCCTTGAACTTAGTCTGCACACATAGACTGAGGTCTATGGCTGACATGAACTTAGTCTGCGTGTAGCTGGTCTGTTGCTGACACATGAACTTAGTCTGCACATGGGCTGAGGTCATATGGCTGACATGAACTTAGTCTGCACATGTCTAGACTGGTCTGTCGCTGACATGAACTTAGTCTACATGTGTGGCTATGATCTGTCGCTGACATGAACTTAGTCTAGCACGTGTAGCTATGATGTCCTGTCGCTGACTTATGGTATAGTCTGCATGGGCAGGGTCTGTGGCTGACATGAACATGGTCTGCACATGGAACTGAGGTCTGTCGCTGACATGAACATGGTCTACACATGGAGCTGAGGTCTGTCGCTGACATGAACATGGTCTGCACATGGAGCTGAGGTCTGTCGCTGACATGAACATGGTCTACACATGGAGCTGAGGTCTGTCGCTGACATGAACATGGTCTACACATGGAGCTGAGGTCTGTCGCTGACATGAACATGGTCTGCACATGGAACTGAGGTCTGTCGCTGACATGAACATGGTATGCACATGGGCTGAGGTCTGTCGCCGACATGAACTTAGTCTGCACATGGAGCTGAGGTCTGTCGCTGACATGAACTTAGTACACGTGTAGCTGTGGTCTGTCGCTGACATGAACTTAGTCTGCACATGGAGCTGAGGTCTGTCGCTGACATGAACTTAGTCTGCACATGGAGCTGAGGTCTGTCGCTGACATGAACTTAGTCTACATGTGTAGCTGTGGTCTGTCGCTGACATGAACTTAGTCTACACGTGTAGCTGTGGTCTGTCGCTGACATGAACATGGTCTGCACATGGAACTGAGGTCTGTCGCTGACATGAACATGGTCTACACATGGAGCTGAGGTCTGTCGCTGACATGAACTTAGTCTGCACATGGAGCTGAGGTCTGTCGCTGACATGAACATGGTCTACACATGGAGCTGAGGTCTGTCGCTGACATGAACTTAGTCTACATGTGTAGCTGTGGTCTGTCGCTGACATGAACTTAGTCTACACGTGTAGCTATGGTCTGTCGCTGACATGAACATGGTCTGCACATGGAACTGAGGTCTGTCGCTGACATGAACATGGTCTACACATGGAGCTGAGGTCGGTCGCTGACATGAACATGGTCTGCTCCAGTTTATTTGCAGTAGTTGCTGTATGTTTCTTTCTTGCTCTTTTACACCTTAACCTCCGACATCTCTGCTTCATTGTATTTCTTTCCATGTTCACTTCAATTCTTAGTTCAAGATCAAAGCCTTTACCTTTATTTAGCCAGTTGGCTCTTCAGCTTGTCATGCTATGACTTAAGGATTCTCATATCATGGGCATATAGCTTTATTTGGATAAATAACTATTTTCTTTCTAACCATTCACCAGAGTCTTAACCTAACCATGCTCTTCCCTTATTATTCTCTCAATCCATTTATGAGGTCTGTCGCTGACATGAACATGGTCTACACATGGAGCTGAGGTCTGTCGCTGACATGAACATGGTATGCACATGGAGCTGAGGTCTGTCGCCGACATGAACTTAGTCTGCACATGGAGCTGAGGTCTGTCGCTGACATGAACTTAGTCTAGACGTGTAGCTGTGGTCTGTTGCTGACATGAACTTAGTCTGCACATGGAGCTGAGGTCTGTCGCTGACATGAACTTAGTCTGCACATGGAGCTGAGGTCTGTCGCTGACATGAACTTAGTCTACATGTGTAGCTGTGGTCTGTCGCTGACATGAACTTAGTCTACACGTGTAGCTGTGGTCTGTCGCTGACATGAACATGGTCTGCACATGGAACTGAGGTCTGTCGCTGACATGAACATGGTCTACACATGGAGCTGAGGTCTGTCGCTGACATGAACATGGTCTGCACATGGAGCTGAGGTCTGTCGCTGACATGAACATGGTCTACACATGGAGCTGAGGTCTGTCGCTGACATGAACATGGTCTACACATGGAGCTGAGGTCTGTCGCTGACATGAACATGGTCTACATGGAGCTGAGGTCTGTCGCTGACATGAACTTAGTCTACACGTGTAGCTGTGGTCTGTCGCTGACATGAACATGGTCTGCACATGGAACTGAGGTCTGTCGCTGACATGAACATGGTCTACACATGGAGCTGAGGTCTGTCGCTGACATGAACTTAGTCTGCACATGGAGCTGAGGTCTGTCGCTGACATGAACATGGTCTACACATGGAGCTGAGGTCTGTCGCTGACATGAACTTAGTCTACATGTGTAGCTGTGGTCTGTCGCTGACATGAACTTAGTCTACACGTGTAGCTATGGTCTGTCGCTGACATGAACATGGTCTGCACATGGAACTGAGGTCTGTCGCTGACATGAACATGGTCTACACATGGAGCTGAGGTCGGTCGCTGACATGAACATGGTCTGCTCCAGTTTATTTGCAGTAGTTGCTGTATGTTTCTTTCTTGCTCTTTTACACCTTAACCTCCGACATCTCTGCTTCATTGTATTTCTTTCCATGTTCACTTCAATTCTTAGTTCAAGATCAAAGCCTTTACCTTTATTTAGCCAGTTGGCTCTTCAGCTTGTCATGCTATGACTTAAGGATTCTCATATCATGGGCATATAGCTTTATTTGGATAAATAACTATTTTCTTTCTAACCATTCACCAGAGTCTTAACCTAACCATGCTCTTCCCTTATTATTCTCTCAATCCATTTATGGTTACCCTGTTTCCTCTAGGTCCAGCAGCCCCTTTTGGTCCATCAGGTCCTCGATTTCCCTAGGGTTGATGAAAAGTAATGCATATGAGATTACAATTGAAAACCAAGATAATCCACATAACATCTTAATACGATCCACACATTACAGTGTAGTAATGAATAAAGATGTAGGGTTGTCATCTTGAAATCTGGAGCATGCTCTACACCAGGACACTTAGTGAACCAACCTTGGAACCCTCACTGCCATTTGAACCAGGAGGCCCTATTTGTCCTTCATCACCCTGTAGGAAAATATAGAGATATTGTAATAGCTAATAAACCATTTTAGAGAAAATAAAAGTGTTTTTGATGTCGAAAATTTCAAAATACGACGTGAAGATTGTACTTAAATTTTCACAATAAAATAATTGCTTAGCAATAAAACAAGGCAGTGCTGTGCTCAATTTCCATTTCTGCCATCAAATAACCAAGGGAAAACTTTAAAGGATAATCTGTCCACAATCATAGCTCGGGGCCACATGGTCCTCACCCTTCAGAGTTAATAATGTAACTAGGGTTTTTTGTTGGGATTTGTATCAGAATACTACATTGTGATGGCACTGCGATAATATTGTTTAGTTAGTTACTTATTAAAACAATAGACGCACCAAGTTTAAACTTGGAATGTGACAGTGTCAAAAATACAGAATAACAAGGTGTTAATACTCACTACAACTCCACGAAGTCCAATGTGGCCTTTTGGTCCTTGAAAACCGACAAAACCAGTTTGTCCTTGAATGCCAGGTGGCCCATGAGCACCCATTGGTCCAGGAAGACCCTGGCAGAGACACATTAAAAGTTGTGTTCAGGTCTATAAGTCTATTCACTAAATCAGATTGTGGCAAATTGAGAATTTTAGGGCAAAACATCCAAATTGGAAAATTTTCCATTACAGCTATTTTTCCAGTTTGGCTGTTTTAGTCTAATATTGCAAGATGTTCTCTGTGAGTAATGGCTAATCCTACTAAAATGTGTATAAATAATGCAAAATGCAATATTTTAATTACCTTTTCACCTTTTTCCCCAGGGTTCCCTTTCTCTCCATCTCCGGCACAATGACCCTATAGACAGTAGAGGAAAGTTACTGTGAAGAAGATGGCATCCATCATGCGGGTACATAGGGCACAGATATAGTGGGTATGTCTGTATGTATTTTGTACTATGAACATTCCATTTCCCAGGACACAGTTGTCCTCCATCTCTTTTTGATTCACTGTTTGCTATCTTTCTAAAACTAAAATGAACTGTGGGAAGTAGGACTAGATCTCAAAACCATGCTGAACCTTTTTAAAACAGTAAAAAAAAAATATATAAATACTTTTTCACGTTCGGTTGCTGCAATGCACACTGACAATAGCAGCCCCTAGTTGAAAGACTGTGAATTGCTCTCCATCTACTTTGCTATACAGCAGGAATGCTCTTACACTGGAACAGGCACCGATGACAACAAAGAAGAGACTTTTAGAAGGGCCCTACAAACATGGCATTTCATACAGATTTTAAACAATACCACACTACTGCATGTATCACTGGAAAGTATACCACTGAATAGAATAGCACAAAAATCACCTAGATCGTTTAACCTTTTTTTCACAAAATACTTTGTTTTCTTTTAAATGTGTTTTAAAGATTAAGCAAATTAAATGATTCTGACAAGGTGAAGTCAGGACAAACATTGCAAATGAAAAGAAGAAATCACAACAGGTTTCATTGTAGACACGTGCAATTAGTTTCGTGCCGAATATGTATTCGGACGAATTTCGGGCAATTCGGACATTCGGGTACTTCCGAATGTCCGAATAGCCGAATTACCAAGGTCCCGAAGTTCCGAAATTACTGAATTTCCGAAGACCCGAAGCACAGTTTTGCCTAAGTACTAATATACTTACCCAGTGGAAGAAGAAGAATGTTACACTGTATACTATTTTAAATAAAAAGTATACAAACATAGCCAGGATTCAGCTGTAAGCATTTGCAACACTTAGAACAATCAAGTAACACACATTCATATAAAATGTAAGTTACTTGGCCAGTCATTGTAATGACAGGAATGAATAAGTAGATAACTCCCTAATGCCCACGATATTAGGGAGCTATCAACTAAAAGGCTGAAAGACCTAAATCGGTCTTTCAGACAAATTTACTAATACTAAGTAAAGATTACTTAGTATTAGTAAATTATGCCCCTACTCGCTATACCGCGAGTAGGGGCATGTCTATTAAACAGTGAGCAGCCTGTGGCTGCTCACTGTAAAAAACAAAACAAAAAAAAAACACGTCCCCCCTCCAAACCTGAAGGGGGGACCTATTGCTCCCCCCGCCCCCACCCCTGAACGGCAGATGGGGGCCCTAAAGTAAAATAAGGGGGGACCTTTTGTCCTCCCCCCGGCCCCCACCCATGAGCAGCGGGAGGGGGCCCTAAATCAGAATGGGGGGGAAATAATGTCAGGGGTGGGGGTATAGCGGGTAGGGGCAAAATTTACTAATACTAAGTAATTTTTACTTAGTATTAGTAAATGTGGCTGAAAGACCAATTTAGGTCTTTCAGCCTTTTGGTAGATAACTCCCTAATACCGTGGGAATTAGGGAGTTATCTACCAAGCGGCTGCAAGACAAGTTCTGAAATTCTGAAGTGCTGAAATTCCGAAGTGGCGAAGTGCTGAATTGCCGAAGTACCGAATTTCGGAATGCCGAACCGAACCGAAAAATGTTCCCATGCACATGCCTATTTCATTTCTCCTCTTATCTGTATGCTTTCTTTATGCTGACTGTCAGGTGCAAAGGATAGAGCTTATCATTATTATTGTTATATTTATAAAGCGCCAACAAATTCCGCAGCGCTTTACAATGAGTGGACTAACAAACATGTAATTGTAACCAGACAAGTTTGACGCACAGGAACAGATGGGTTGAGTGCCCTGCTCAGTGAGCTTACACGGTAAAGGGAGTGGGGTAAAGTGACACAAACGTTAAGGGAAGTATTAGGGAAGTAGATTGGTAGAATAGTATTAAATGAAGACTTAGGGTTTTGGAGTCATTAACAGTTTAGTTGATACACTTTTGTGAAAATGTGAGTTTTTAATGATTTTTTTGAAGGAGTGGAGACTGGGTGAGTGTCTAACAGAAAAGGGAAGTGAGTACCAAAGGAACGGTGCAGCTCTAGAGAAGTCTGCCATGCAAGCATCAGAGGTGGGAGTACGAACAGAGGATAGACGTAGGTCTTCGGCAGAGAGTAGGGGCCTAGCTTATAAAAATAATTGACAGAGATCCCAGGTGCAAAATAAAGAGGTGTGGATTTTTAAATTTTACTTTATTTTCACACCTCACGAGTACATATCTGTAATAATAGTCATAAGTAAACACAATATGAAAAATCCAGGGACCTGACTGTTCCCCTTTAAAATACACTCTATGACATTGGACCATTCTTTTTTTTTTATCATCATGCAACAATTATAGCGATCTCACCTTTTCCCCAGGAGGTCCATCAGGACCAGGCCAGCCAATTAACCCCTGGAAGGACAAACAAACATAAGAAAGCTTAGCGTTCCATCACGTTCCTTCATACATTTTTCCCGTTATCTATTAAATTGTCTATCAATAAGTGTTAGGTAAATATTTTCAATCATGGGTGACCATGCCACCAACTAGAGTAACCTGTATAGTATTTGCAAAATGTCATAACCACCTGACTCTTTACCAGACTGTGACCCTGCTAGACATGTATTATTTAAACCTTAATAAATTAGTTAATACCCTTGTAGGAGGTTGTTTTATCTATTAGAGCTAGTTTTTTTATTTTTTATTTTAATAAAACTACACTGTGACATTACAACAACCTTCTAATAGTCACAGACAGGAAATTTTATGCAAATTAAGAAGAACATAGAATAAGCTCACCCTATAAATGTCATATATTTTGTAGGGTGTATTTGACATCTTCAATAAATGACTTACCATGGGCCCCTGCATTCCTCTTTCCCCACGTGATCCTATTAATCCGGGTGCTCCCTGCAAAATGGGATGTTTAGAAAAATTATATCAAGAAGTAAACTATACCAGGGCATCCGGGAATAAAAAAATGCAAGAGGGAGGTAGATACAATATAACAGAGCTATGTCTTTAACATTACAACAAAGAATTCAATGCTTGTTTTGTATTACAGTTTAAATATTTACAGAATAGCTTGGGAAATCCTCTACAAATGAATAGAATTTGGAACTGTAGTTTGTGATGTTTCAGGAGGTCCAGTTGACTTATATATTGTATCCATTTTTTATTTTTTTTTATACTTGTAGCATATTTTTTTTTTAGTTAATGTATCTCTCCGTAAACACTACAACTTATTATACTACAGTGTATTGTGCTTATGGTGCTATTAGTCTATGGTCCAAACTTTCCACTTATTTGATGGGTGATTTTACAGACTTGAGGTGCAGAGGAATTGCTTGAACACAGTCTGGGAAAGGCTCCATAACCTAACAGCATTACAACCAACACAATAAGTGGTTATGGTGCTAGTAGTGTCCTTGTAAGACTGCTCTTTGTTTATTCATTCCTGGATCCGTTTACTGTCAGACACTGCATCAATGTAAGTGTTGCTTTAAAAATATAGACTTTTCTTGAAATCCAAGTTTAAATCCTTTGTTTCTAGGAATTGTTCTGCTTTTATATTTGTTTTTCAATCTATGACTAAGCCCTTCTGGTGTTTAGACTTGCCAGTTTCTGGGGTAAACTATAAATCCTACAGAATCTGATGATATGCACGATCTCCTATTTAAAGACACACTTTCGACACCAAAACTATTTTATCTTAATGAAGCATGTTTTGTGTATAGATCATGCCACTGAAGTCGCACTGCTCAATTCACTGCAATTTAGGAGTTAAAGCACTTTGCTTCTGTCTATGCAGCCCTAACTACACCTCCCCTGGCTGTGACACGCACAGCCTGCATGAAAAGAAAAAATGGTTTCATTTTAAAACATATGTCAACTAAGTTTAGAACTTTTTTTTCTCCTGCTTTGTAAATTGAACTTTAACCACACACAGGAGACTCTAGCAAGCGATTAGACGTGCAGGAGATAAATTCTACATTATACAGAATTTGCAATAAAGGAAGTGTAAACATTAGATCTATCATTACAGGAAGTGTTTAGGAAGGCTGTGCAAGTTACATGCAAGGAGGTGTGACTATGGCTGCATAAAGTGATTTAACTACTAAATAGCATAGAACTGAGCAGTGAGACTGCAGGGGCAAGATCTATACACCATAACTGCTTCATTAAGCTTAAATTGTTTTGGTGACTATAGTGTCCTGTTACTGTCCACTGTGCTGGAGTACTAAATCAGAGAAAACTAATGTCAAGTTCAAGGACTTACAAACTATTTATACTACACCTATAAAGCCAGCAACACAGGCAAATATCTCTAAACACCAACACACACATGTACAGGTAGAAAGTGATATTTAATTTATTTTTGGTTTGATTCGCACCATATCTCCTTTCTGACCTGGGGGCCCCTCTGGTCCCATCATTCCCTGTAACAAAATACAAAAAGAGAGACATAAGACAAATGTACATTATCAGTATTAATAAAGTTAGGTGACACATACACCTCCTGCCTAAAGTTTAAGGTGAGAGCAGAGACAAAGACTGCCAACAGTGTGCCAGTACTGTAAGATCCTCTAGACCCTTAGCAAATCCTTACCGGAGGTCCTCTCTTTCCTGGGGGTCCACATACGCCTTCAAGACCTGGTGGTCCCTGTAGATAATGTCAGACAGAGAAAAGGTTATAACTGATTGGAGTTCACATGGGGTAGACCATATGCCCTGTGCTTTGTGAAACACCCCAGCTTGCAGGAGAAGGACGATGGTGTGGAAAGTATTTAAGGTTTCCAACTCAACAATCATGATTTTGAATGCCCTACATGACTATCAGACAAAGACCACCCATATAACCCTCTGTGTACTCCATGGATCTGCTAAATCACTTTCACCAACTGTAGCATTCAGTGACCAATTACAGCAAGCTTTATACAATACTAACCATTCCAACAAGGCTATACTAAATGCTGACAATTGCTACAGTTACACCAAATACAGATTGTTCCTACAGGCTTCCCAGGGCTTGTAGGCTAGGCTAGGTTCACACACTAATGGCCATTCACACAGTACTGACCATCCCTACCTAGGTTAAAACACTACTGACCATCCCTACCTAGGCTAGGCTCATACACTACTGACCATTCACACAATACTGACCATTCCTACCTAGGTTAAAACACTACTGACCATCCCTACCTAGGTTAAAACACTACTGACCATCCCTACCTAGGCTAGGCTCATACACTACTGACCATTCACACAATACTGACCATTCCTACCTAGGTTCACACACTACTGACCATTCCTACCTAGGCTAGGTTAACACACTACCTTTTATACCTAGATTCACACATTCTGCGCCTTTCCACATAGCTACAAACAATAAAATTCCCATCTAGTTTGATTAAACTGACACTATAGTCTCCAGAACAACTACAGCTTATTGAATTTGTTCTGGTGAGTAGAATCATTAACTTCAGGCTTTTTTCAATAAACACTGTCTTTTCAGAGAAAATGCAGTGTTTACTTTACAGCCTACTGATAACTCCACTGGCCACTCCTCAGATGGCTGGGTGCTTCCTGAGGCAGTGCTGCACAGTGTGACTGAAATTCTGTGTCTCCACCCTCTGCATGGAGACATTGAAAATGTCCTCAGAAAGATGCATTGATTCAGTGTATCTCTATGAGGAGATGCTGATTGGCCAGGGCTGTGTTTGCATTGTGCTGGCTCTGCCCCTGATTTGCCTTCTTGACAGTCTCAACCAATCCTATGGGGAAGTATTGTAATTGGCTCAAGTTACCACTTCTGTTGATGTCAGCACACAGCAGGCAGTTCAGAGGCAGACAAGGGCAGATCCAGATTTGAATACAAGTACGATTTAACTATATTTAGGGAGGCAAGGGGAGCTAGATGGTGGTTTTATTACTATAGGATCAGGAATACATATTTTATTGAACACTTACCATCTCACTTCACACAAGCCCATTCCTATTTAGACTGACACAATATTCACACTCGCCATCTAGTTTCATTCAATACTGACCATTCCCATCTCACTTTGAGGACGAAAGGGACTCTCCCATATAATATTGTTCAATGTGGAATGTTCACATGTGGCTTTACACACTACTCAATGTGTGCATTGCAACTTCTCACAATGCTGGATGATTCCATATGGCTTTACTCAATGCTGGACATTTTTGTATAACACATTTCTAAGTTTTGAGATTAGAAATCTTATTATTACCTACCCGTGGACCACGATGACCAGTGATTCCTCGAGGACCAATATCGCCCTATTAGATACATAAGGGGAAAAAAAGCCATCTAATAATTTGTCAGATATATTTCATATATCTATATATATTAGCACTGGAATAAAGACAAAATGAATGTATATTAATAAACATGTTTAACTGTTAATGTTAGTCCATTAAGCTCCAGTTCACTGCTAATGGTTCCCATTTGATTGACCCCAGAAGGATGAACTGGGTAGACTTTGCCAGAAATTGAACCCGGAATTCTGCAGCTGAAGTTTTATCGACTGAGCTATCTCATGAGCTAATTAATTCTTTAGAAAACGGCATTAGAAATATAATATTATTGTCTTCAGGGATACACTGCTTACCTGAGACCCATTAATCCCTTGATTTCCGGGGATCCCCGGCTCTCCTTGCTCTCCCTAAATACAATGAAGGAATGGAAGAAAGAACAAGTAATACATTATATTTTAGTGACAATGAGCACTTTAAGACTTAAAACTGAATACAGGATGGACTCACCTCTAGGCCAGGTGGCCCTCGAGCTCCAGGGATGCCCATTTCCCCCTGCAAAGTAAATTCTTATAGAGTCATGTCCAGGATTAAAAGATGCATGGCCAGTAACTTGTATTATCTTCATGTTTTGCCTTGTATTATCTAGGAATTATTTTTCCTAACCATTTTTTTCCAAACACTTTATTTAACATGATATCATGTTATTACCTGCGTCAAAGTACAATAAAACATATTGCACTCCTGCTCTGCGTTTTAAAATGAACAATAGAAAGTGTATTGTCTTTCTCAACAGAGGAAGACGAAGATATCGAGGAGGAAGAAGTCAAGATAAAAAAAAGAGAAGAAATGGCCTTGGAGGAAATATCCATACATAGTGTCCTATTTAAGGCTACTGGCCTTGGTGCTCCTGATTCCCACGGCTGCCATACTTTTCGGAAGGCTGGTAGTGTGTTACTTACTTGCACTGTTCCAAGACATTTTTTTATTTTATTTTTACAATCTTTATTTGTATTTTACATTTTCTGAAAATGGAGAAGGAGAAGTGCATGGAAAAGACCACAACAGGGCTGGGAGGATAGCAATCGGGGGCATACAAGTACAAGCCAATCTGAGGTGTACAAAAAGCATGATATTATAAGCCCTTAAAAACAGTTGAACAGTAATAAACCGAGCAATGTGTATAAGTAATTCTCGGGTCGCAGAAAACTGAAGAAAAAGTGAAAAGACAGAAGAAGGGGGAAAAAAGGTTCCAGATTTGAATAAATCAACTATGTCGCCATACATCTAAATCTATGTCAGCTACCCTTACGCATCAGATCTTACAAAAACTCCAGCCACAGAGTGTAAGGTATAGTAAGCTCCGAACCATTTTTGCCCTCTTTAGGCGTATTGATATGGTAGTCAGACTGCATTATATACGACTAATAGTTAAATAGTTATAAACTAAATAATTGTGTTTTAGATCACCAGAATATATCTCATATGCATATGTATTTGGATTTATACTATACATCTACAATATAATGAAAATACTAAAGTAATTTAGGCTGTAAAACTGCTCCTGGAAGCCTGTCACCCCTAATTTCTTACTGTTGGTCCTGTAGGTCCTTGGAATCCTGAATCGCCTTTCACACCCTTTGGACCCTAAGAAGAATACATATTCAGTAAAATTAAAATGATTACAGAGTTGGGGAGATTCAAGGCTCTAAATTAGAACATACCGATACTCCTACAGACCCAGGGGGACCAGGCTCTCCCTTTAAACCCTGCAAAAAAAAGAATCATAAGTATATTGGTTGTATATATACACTTAGTTTTATATTAAAGTATATTATATTAGTGAATGGAAATACTTTGTATCCACAGCATATTAGTGGTTTTAGACACCTGGAATGAAAACCAAGCCTGTATAAGGTGTCACCATAGGTGTGCTCAAGGCGTGAGACTGCTGTGCACAGATACACATTACGTTGGGTCACTGTCTTGAGCTGCAGAGAAATTGCTTAAACATGGTTTGGGGAAAAATCACTGTTTACATCCACACCTATACCCTTTGCTTCCATACGAATAGAATAATCTGAATTAGTTTTCTCAAAATGCTTATGAAATGCTTGAAAGATTTACCACGTTAACATCACAAATATTTCACCAAGGCCGCTAAATAGGCAATAATTATATATATATATTTATTTATTTTTTTTTTTTTTTTTTTTACTATTCCTTCACAGTTCTAAATGAATTATTGCATTAAACATTTACCTTTACCCCCTTAATTCCATTTTCACCGATCGGTCCTGAAGATCCAACGTACCCCTGTAACAAAAAGTTAAAACCAAGTCTTTTCTCCTTACTTCCAAATCCCAGCCATTAAATGGCGAAAATATACGTTTTTATTCACTATATATTCTAAACATGTTATAAATTGCAGAAGAAAAGATCTGCTAACAAAAGAAAAACTACAAAGCAGAATAAATTGTTATTTTGTCAACTTGTGCACTTTGGGGAGGTATTTGCACAAAAATAAGAACTTGGTGAGGAGCAAAATGCGCCGGGCTGTTTGCCTCTGACTCCTTCCAATTTGTTGCCTGTTTTTTATAGGTCAATAAAGATCTTGTTTTTGTTACCAGTGAGTGATTTGTTTTTAGTGTACCCTTAAGGTCTGGAAATATGGCTGGACATATAATGTAAGTATATCATAAGCACAGAACTCTGTATAGCTGAAATATTTAATTACAATAGAGATTACAATTTGGAAGGATATATGGAATGTAGTAACCTGTTAGTAATAAGGTTCGAATAATAAACATCAGAATGCTATCCACATGCTATATAATGGCATATAGATTCAGTGTAAGGTATAGTAAATTCATTTTCAGGGGAAACACATTATAAGACAGCAGATACATATAGCTCTCATAAAGCGTGTTAATAAATGATCTCCAGAAGTAGAGAACTCACAGAATAGATCGCCCCCTGGTGGGAATGGAGAAGAAGGCCATACAATTGGAAAACAGAATGAGAAGAAAATTGGATACAGAGCTCATGTTTTATAAAGGATTATAATGTATCCAGATAATGTATCTAGCCCCAAAGGTCAGCAAAAAAGGTATCACTTACTTCATCTCCCTTTTCACCCACAGGTCCTTGATCCCCTCTAAAGCCTTGCTGCCCCTGTAAAAAGACAGACATACTCAGAATGTGTATGATTGCTAGAGCCTGGAGAAGACAAATTAATCTGACTTCCTATCTGCTCTAACAGAGGTGGTGATGCTGGTCTCAGGAAATTTGAGAAACGTATCTAAGATGAGATGACAATGTGACAGTAATTGCTCCCATATCCAATAAGGGCAGGGCAGCTGTTCTCGTACAAATGTTTCTATCACAAGATGGCCAGGCCATACAATATCACAGGTGGCAGTGGTTGGAGTCTCTTGCTTATGGTCCGACCTAGGAACAAACTAAACTAGGACTTAGCACTGGGGACAGTTAAGTCTGTTTCAGCCACAGGTCTTTAATATCGAACCTTCATACCAACGAATTGCTGGGTTCATTTAATGGAGTGAGAAAATGTCCTCCTTGGTGTCCAGCTTCTAATCTCAAAACCAATCTTAAAACCAAAGATCTGTATCTAAATGGAAGACTGAGATTGCATCCAAGGAAACTGGTGCATGTAGGAAATACATTTTGCAAAGCTATGAATGCGATAGATATGTCCAAAGTCGACCTATCATGTATGGGGATTACCTTTGCTCCTGCGAATCCAGGAGAACCGAGTTTTCCATCTAATCCAAATGATCCATCTTTGCCAGGGATACCAGGCAGCCCCGGTAAACCAGTGGGTCCATGTAGTCCCTGAGGGGTTAATACAAAGAAAATGAGCACAATCAAAAAAATAGAGAGCCAAAAAGTATCTGCTGACAAATAATTAGATATTTTTATATTAAGATACCTTGTATGGGAAACGGAGTTAAAAATAAGACAAAACACATACATGTCTTTACACAAGGATCTTTGAAAGTACTGTTTTTTTATGTCAGGGGGGAAACAATTTGCTGTGGTACGTATGTTGCAAAGCAATCCTGGGCATTGAACTGCTGCTCACAGAACATTGAAAGTGTGCTGCCTAAACGCTTCCCCTCCTTTGATACACAATCTAAGATTTAAAATATCTTGCTAATGGCATTCCTTGCAGCAACTTAGAGTACACCCCACTGTATTTTTTTTAAATTTAAATTCGAATTAAAAGATTACATGTATTATACCCTATTGTAGAATATATCGATATATGTTAATAAGTGCATCTCCTGGCCCACTTATGCTCTACAGGGTTGGTCATCTTTAAAAAGGTCGCAAGTACCACTTGTCCCCTCCAAGGTCTCCATGCACAATTTGAATGACTGAACCAGCTCATAGAGTGTTTTTGAAATTCCCAGGAACTCTGAACTACATGAGTGGTTTGGTGGTCTGAGACTTAAACATGGCTGCCCCCACAGAGCAAAAGTAAGCCAGAAAATGCACTGAAAAAAAGAATATAAAACATGTAAATTTAAATTAGAATAATAGTAATACAAATGTATGACAGTTTTCATATAAGATAAAATGTTCAGAAAAATTAATTTCCCAGGCTCCGAAACTCAAGTGATATGTTGCAATTTGTAATATGTTTATCTATTAACACACGGAAACATTTAAACCGATAGTTACCATAACATTTGCATAAAAAATTAAAAAGGAGACATAAAAAGTTGGATAAATCAATATATAAAGGGGCACTGTAACCACTGTAACTGTTTTATCCCATTGAAGTGGTTATAGTGCCTGGAGTCCCCTGGTGCTGTCCTTTTATTCAGAGTTAAACCATTTTTAATGTTAAACAGGAGCCCCCAGCAGCCCATCCCCTCTGTGCTGCTTGGGTTAATGAGGAAACATTAGGCTGCAAAATAATGGGTGGCTGTTATTGACCGAGAGTGTCAGCTGACCGTTTTCCACCAATAAGAGCCATTGCTGGTATGAATTGCTATGGCTAGATGGAACTGTGTAATCTCTGCCTTCGCCACATCTCTAATGGGAGTGGAGCTATGGGAAGCCAGGGACCCGCATTCAGTGTTAAACTGTGAATTGAGGAACAACACCAGGAGGCTCCAGGCACTATAGCCACTTCAATGAGAAGAGATAGTTATAGTGCCTACAATATCCCTTTAATTACAAAGATAAACTTGGATTGAGAAGGAATAATTGGAAAGTTTTCATACCATTGGACCCCTCTGTCCCTTTTCTCCCAACGTCCCTGGTTTTCCAGGTGGTCCCTACGCATCAGAAAGAGAAATATTTACTATGAATTCCCACGAATACTTGTTTAATAAAAGGTTAATAGTTTTAACTTGGGGTGTATAGAAAAATGCACAAATAGAGAGAAGTCTACATATATAATGTGTACGTTGTGGGATTTGCCTCTTTTCACTTTTAGATCTCCTGGATAGATTTAATTACTGCAACCATGGAGCTGCCATTACTTCTTTACAGTCATACACAATACAATTGCAATCAGCCAATCAGAACATGTTTGATTTTTAAATGGGTCGTATAGATTTACTTTTCTCATGCAACTCACATTACTTGCAAGGCTTCCTGCTTTAGTAAAAACAAGGCCGGGAATCGTATAATGTTTGTATACTGAACCCGTCTCAGTCTGAAGATATTACCAATCCTGTCAAACACTTTACTATTCATCACAAGTCAGAACTTCCACAACCGGCTTGCACAAAGTGATTTATGCAGAAAAGAACAGTGAAATGTGATGAACTGATAATCGAAAGTCAAAAATAGCTAATTTCAAACAATTGTCTAATTAAGTTTTTTTTTTTCAATTTTGTTACTTTTAGCCTAGTTTTTGCAAAACTGCACATAGTTCAGTGTTAAGTGAATAAATCCCAGCATGCTCTGTACATGGCAGCATTGGCAAAGTGTAATGGTGCAAGAAATGGCAGTATAGGTTTGCGTGGCTCAATAAAACTGATTGAGGTTTATGCACTAAACTAGGAATTCTGCTACTTTACCCAAAAAGTTGAAACTCCTTTTTTGTTTTCTAACAATTCTCGGTTTAGTGCAAGTTGTTTATTCACTGAACAGTGAAATGTGGTGCGGTGAAAGCCATATTTGCAAAATGTAACCCCTGATAACCAAGGTAGGAATATAACTGTATTCAAGAATCTTTTGGGAGAGCTTTGTTATACAGATCAAAATTTTACAACATTGGCTTTTAAATCACCACAATTCACTGGTTTATGAATACATCACTAACTGTTTTCCATACTATATCTACTATATATTAAATTACTATCAATCTCTTTTCACTCATTTGGCAAAACTGTCTGCTTATCTACTTCATTCACTTTCCAAGACGATGATCACAATTCATTGTATCCCCAATAATGGGTGCTACGAATATGGGATAGGGGGTTAGATGTGGCTAGTCGGGCACATGGCAAGGACACTGTGTGAGTCATTGGTGATGCACGGGTGGGCCAACCCAAAAAACCAAACACACTCTTTTTTCGCATGATAAGCTTTGCAGTGATAAGCTTTGATTCTCCAACAGTCACCAGATATAAGGGGTCCAGGAACAAAGCCAGGACAATATTACAGGTCAAAAATCCTGGGATGTTCTGATGAATCCCTGACTGTGGATAGTATAATATATAAGAATATAATCTCTTTCATTCTACGATGCTGGAGTCATTTTATTTTTTCTCTTACCGGCGCTCCTGGTTTGCCAGAGATACCAGGAAGGCCCACAGGACCCCGACTTCGCTAAAAAAAAAAAATAAAGAAAAATTTGGAAACATAAATGAATGAGAATCAAATCAAACATATTAACATGTATTTAGAAATCCTGAGACAGTATTCTAAAACTGAGCAATCGCAAGAACATTGGTTTCCATGGTGACTGCTCCACTTTCAAGAACTTTACCCCAGAATCGCTCTATATGCCAAATCACCTAGTGGCCAATTAAAATAAATGAATAATTAAAACAATATGATACGATGTTGAACATTGTTGACAGTGGAATAACCTTGTGATTTAATGTTAAGTCACACATTCCAGAAAAGTGATATCTCATTCATTTCACATTGAGCGTCTGTGTTCATGCAATTTGTGATGATGGCTATTATTTTACCAGACGTCAAGAAATGCTGTGCTTGTGAAAATGTAAGGGCATTAAAAATGTAACTTGCAACAGCGACTTGTGTTCTCTTTAATGTAGTCTGTTTTCGCAGTAAGATGGCTCCCCCCAGTTATCTTGTCTTACTGTTTTGATTTACACAAAGTAAAAAAAAAAAACCCCATTGCAACTTTGTAAATACCCCAAATAAGCTAATAAAATATATCAAATGCAAAAATATTAGTGTCAGCGTTATTCACCAACGTTACAGTTGTCAGGAATTCAAAGTGAATTTGAAATTAATTTTAGATCAAAACAGACGAATTGAAAAAAAGCCAAAACATTTCCAGTTGGCTGTACGCAATTTGGCTACTTTATGCTAAGATTTGAAAATGACTTTTTCCACTTTAGTGGATAACCCTGCTATCATTACAGAGAGGTAAGTTAATATTAAAAAACAATTTAATGTTGAATTAAAAATCTACACCTTGGTAAAACATAAATGACATCATGTCCACTGATATAGATGGGGTTTATCTGCTATGCAATGAGTTGGATAGAGACTGGCAAATTTAAGGCCATAATTAGAAATTTGAAAAATTCAAATGCACCTTGGCTGAAGTGAAGGTTTTTCCCTATTGGTTTAGTCTACATTTTGCTCAATGTTTGGTTAATAGACACATTTTGCAACTGGGTAGTCATGTCACCACAGCTCAATGTTTGGTTAATAGACACATTTTGGCTTGATATCATTTTCATTTTAAAATTCTTTAGTATGTAAATATTTACAGAGACTGAGTAACACTCCCAGCGAGCCATTTTACCTCCCAAAATATTAATGCAAATGCACTATGGGAGAATAAGGTGTCTACAGTGATGGAATAATTTTTTGAATTGCAGTCAGGCAAAGAAATTAAGAGAATCATCAATCTGCATCAGAATTATGTCTGATTTTTGACAAAAAGAAGCAGTTTTGGAGCTTTCATTGTGTTTGCTATTTTGCTACCCCCTACAAAAAGTAAATTAACTAGCAAGTCACAAACTGCCAGCAGGCAAAATACCAATTAAAAAAAATAAAAATCATATAATAAAATTAGGGGGGGAAATAACTAAAGGGGTCGCCAGGAGTGAGAAGCAAGGCATTAAGAAATCCCTAGTGCTCATAATGTCACCCTAAAATGTGAACTAATGCAGGGTATCCCAAGGATCCCTTATTAAAAAAGGGGTGACAATTAAACACTCTTTTCTATATGAAAGGAGTTTCAGTCTGCTTTCTGATGTAATACATGTGTTTTTGAGTAAGCCAATCTAGTTGTACAGTATATAATGAAATAGGATGACATGCTTATCCCAAATCTGTACTTTGTTCCCCACAAATCAAAACTAGAGGACAGAAGAGGATCCATTGTACCAAGACGGTGGGCCATTTGTGAAAACGAAGGACACACACTCACAGGCCAACCGGAGTGCAGCAGCTGATAGAACGATGTTTGCTAAAAGGGACAAAAAGAAACAGATAATGAGACATGTAACATAATTTCTTCCAATGAGCAAGGCGATGTGTGTCTGTTTGGACAATTTAGACTTACATTGAGAGTTAATTGCTAAGCATTATGGGAAACAGCTGAGCTGTTGGTTACCCCCTGCTATTTCAGCTATGCCATGCATTGGTTTAAGGTTGCTTTTTAATAGCTTTTGTCATGTAATAAAGTTTTTAGAAATGTCACATCCTCAAAAAAAAACTAACCAAAAAACGCTTGCCTTGTATTTTATATGTTACTAAAAAGAAAATATATTACTAAATCAGAAATTGCTGCGATAACAGGAGAATTATAAAAGTTGGTGAAATTAGCTGAGCTGGAAACATTAAGGGATAAGTATAAAATCACTGATTCATTTGTTGGTTAACAGACTTACATAAAAGGCTGCCCAATCATCCTTTGTGTTGCTCCAGATCATTATGGTGGGCAATCCTGGTGGTCCACGTGGCCCAGGGTTCCCTGTCATCCCTACGCGCCCCATTACCCCTCGTTCCCCCTGTAGGAAATACAAGATGTGGTCAGAGACAGACATCATACAGTAAGACTGGAAACTGTTCATAAAGACCAATTCACTGCCAGCCACAGTATTCAATGGAGGGAGCAGCAAGTAATGAGCGGGCAGGGAGAGGTACAGAGTGGGTAGATAGTAAGTGCAGCTAGGTAGGTACCAGGAGGAGAGGTACAGACAAAATGGGAAGTAGGTGCACTGTGCTACCATATACAGGGAGTGCAGAATTATTAGGCAAATGAGTATTTTGACCACATCATCCTCTTTATGCATGTTGTCTTACTCCAAGCTGTATAGGCTCGAAAGCCTACTACCAATTAAGCATATTAGGTGATGTGCATCTCTGTAATGAGAAGGGGTGTGGTCTAATGACATCAACACCCTATATCAGGTGTGCATAATTATTAGGCAACTTCCTTTCCTTTGGCAAAATGGGTCAAAAGAAGGACTTGACAGGCTCAGAAAAGTCAAAAATAGTGAGATATCTTGCAGAGGGATGCAGCACTCTTAAAATTGCAAAGCTTCTGAAGCGTGATCATCGAACAATCAAGCGTTTCATTCAAACTAGTCAACAGGGTCACAAGAAGCGTGTGGAAAAACCAAGGCGCAAAATAACTGCCCATGAACTGAGAAAAGTCAAGCGTGCAGCTGCCACGATGCCACTTGCCACCAGTTTGGCCATATTTCAGAGCTGCAACATCACTGGAGTGCCCAAAAGCACAAGGTGTGCAATACTCAGAGACATGGCCAAGGTAAGAAAGGCTGAAAGACGACCACCACTGAACAAGACACACAAGCTGAAACGTCAAGACTGGGCCAAGAAATATCTCAAGACTGATTTTTCTAAGGTTTTATGGACTGATGAAATGAGAGTGAGTCTTGATGGGCCAGATGGATGGGCCCGTGGCTGGATTGGTAAAGGGCAGAGAGCTCCAGTCCGACTCAGACGCCAGCAAGGTGGAGGTGGAGTACTGGTTTGGGCTGGTATCATCAAAGATGAGCTTGTGGGGCCTTTTCGGGTTGAGGATGGAGTCAAGCTCAACTCCCAGTCCTACTGCCAGTTCCTGGAAGACACCTTCTTCAAGCAGTGGTACAGGAAGAAGTCTGCATCCTTCAAGAAAAACATGATTTTCATGCAGGACAATGCTCCATCACACGCGTCCAAGTACTCCACAGCGTGGCTGGCAAGAAAGGGTATAAAAGAAGAAAATCTAATGACATGGCCTCCTTGTTCACCTGATCTGAACCCCATTGAGAACCTGTGGTCCATCATCAAATGTGAGATTTACAAGGAGGGAAAACAGTACACCTCTCTGAACAGTGTCTGGGAGGCTGTGGTTGCTGCTGCACGCAATGTTGATGGTGAACAGATCAAAACACTGACAGAATCCATGGATGGCAGGCTTTTGAGTGTCCTTGCAAAGAAAGGTGGCTATATTGGTCACTGATTTGTTTTTGTTTTGTTTTTGAATGTCAGAAATGTATATTTGTGAATGTTGAGATGTTATATTGGTTTCACTGGTAATAATAAATAATTGAAATGGGTATATATTTGTTTTTTGTTAAGTTGCCTAATAATTATGCACAGTAATAGTCACCTGCACACACAGATATCCCCCTAACATAGCTATAACTAAAAACAAACTAAAAACTACTTCCAAAAATATTCAGCTTTGATATTAATGAGTTTTTTGGGTTCATTGAGAACATGGTTGTTGTTCCATAATAAAATTAATCCTCAAAAATACAACTTGCCTAATAATTCTGCACTCCCTGTAGAGCACTATAATACTAGACTATGCTATTATATGTAATACTGTAATACTACACTACGCTATGCAATGTTACACTGTAATACTGGACTATGTTATTCTATGTAACACTGTAATACTGCACTATGTTATTCTATGTTACACTGTAATACTGCACTGTGCTATTCTATGTAACACTGTAATACTGCACTATTCTATTCTGTGTTACACTGTAATTCTGCACTATGTTATTCTATGTTACACTGTAATACTGCACTATGCTATTCTATGTAACACTGTAATACTGCACAATGCTAAATATTTGTGGTACAATCCCTAGAGTATATCCGGGTTGTCCACATAAACAAAGGGTTTAAGCCCTTTAATTTGAACCATCAAAATAATGTGGAAAATGTACACAAATAGTAAAATCCAGAAACCTTTATTAAGACGCAAGAAAAGGGCATCAATTGCCAATAACAAAGCATTAAGATAATAACCACTCAATATATATTAAGTACTACCACATGAAACCTAATAGGACAAAGAACAAAAAGTCCCAAAAAATAGTTAGAAACCATCCCCTCTAAGATGTTTGATGTTACTAACAATTGATAAAGAATATATGATAGGCAGCTAGAATCCCAAGTTAATGATTCCCTATATGTAATACCCCTAAGCTTTCACTAGGGGTCACAGGGCCTCTGAGAATATAAAATAGTTATCTAAAGTAACCAGAAGGGGGTTGTAACGGATCACCTGGGACCCCGACTAGGCACCTCTGCCGAAGGACCGCTTCCTAGCTGTAACAGGGGACAAACCGCAGCACTTCTTGCCCTCAGTCACTGTAGCTTGAGTGGGGCCCTGGAACCGCCACCTCCCTCCTGGAGCCAAAGGGGAAAATTAGCTCTGACACCTCCAGGCACTGGACGACACTCAGTCCTGGGAACTCTGGAACCAAATGGGGAATTAGCTCTAGTCCTTACAAGGACTTTCCCTGTTGAATCTCTTGCAAGCTGGAACAGCAGACACAGGAGTAAATCTTCTTTCCCTCCAATAATTGGACGACACACAGTTTTGGAGTGTAAGCAGGAATCTCTAGGTTAATGGGACACTCTGGCCTTTTATATAATTTTCCAGGCCAGAGGAACACCCCCTGGACCTGATGGGGCCTGGAACACAAAGGACATAAACCAATCAGAACAATCATACAGTCTGTGATATGCCCATGTACAGCACACAATCCCTCCTCTCTGCTTAGGAGATAATTGAGTAAAGTCCTGTAAGTAACTCAATTATCTCCAGGCAGAAAATCCACATTTTCACAAAGTTCAGAAAGTACCCCAAGATCCAACACATCCCCTGATAGCCCTGATCTGGGTGAACAACATATCCAAAAATCAACCAGATCGGTTCAGGAATTTCTTGGAAGTCATAGTTTTGACCGACCGCAAGCATGGCCCCATGCCCAAAACAGTTCCAGGGAAATCAGTGCTAACAGTCGGTCAAGTTTAGTAGTATTTTACAGGTTTCCCTGCAGGGCCCATAGTCTGTGGGCAGGAGGCTGGCAAGCAGGCTTCTCCAGGAGCGCGTGGCAAACTCACTTGAAAAGGAGAGTTTGTCACAGGGGTTAAGAACCTTGAATATAGGCAGAGAATTGTGTCCAGGGTTAGCTGTTCCCTATCCTAGCCTGGTCAAAAGGCTACAAAAGAGACTTGTTCATATTTATTTGCCAACTGGCATGGACACAAAAAGAGTAAAAATTATGGATATAGAAAATGGGGGGAAAAAACAAAGAAAAAGTAGTATAAAGTTGCAAGCACTCGACACGCGTTTCACACTCTATGCCGGGATCATCACTCTTTTTGTTTCCAGGGCGGCTGGCACTTATTGGGAGTTTTTCTTCTTCGTCCTATTGGATTTAATGTGTTAGGACCTCTCAATATATATTTAGTGGTTATTATCTTAATGGTGTTGTTACTGGCAATTGATGCCTTTTTATAGAGTCTTAATAAAGTTTTTTTGGATTTTGCTATTTAAGTAGATTTTTCACATTCTTTTTTTTAACTGCACTGTGCTATGCTCACCTTGTCTCCTTTTGGTCCAGGAAATCCAGGACGGCCACGGCAGCCCTGAAACAAATATCAATAATGCAATTATCTTCTACCATGCCACCAGCCAGCGCCAGCGCCCAGTAATATTTTACTAACATCTAAAGTAAACCAAAGTATACATGCTTCGCTCGGAGAACAGGAATTAGTGAAACAGAGGAAATTGTCTAACTGAACTTCACTCAGAAGTAATAGATGTGGAATTTGGGCCAATCAGGCGATCATTCGAATTCACGAACTCCAAGTCACAAAACGAAATGCGCGGTGTACGAGCATGTTTGTTTTGTTAAGGGATTCGGAATTGCTCTAAAAAAAAGAGAGATGATTAATAGGAAACAAGATGGTTGATGGCTATGGGACATTCACTAAATTATTTAATTTACTAATCAAGTGAGAAGTGAGCAATAGAGGGAAAAAGGAGGCGTTGCAAAAAAATTCTATATTTATATATTTTTAAGGAACATATACATATTGATTATTTACGGATTCTCTTTTTTTCCCATTCATTGGTTACGTTATTTCACTTGATCTGTTAACCAAATAGTAGGAAATTGTGTCTATCAGTGTACTTAATATTTATACTATGTATTTATTGTGCCGTTCACTGATTTGCCCATTTTTATGCCTCTTTAGTTTGTCTGATTCTCTTTTCCAAATCGTTTTCAAATTAATTTGACTGAAGTAAATTATGGGAAACCCAAAACATAGCTTTCATGCTGTGCCAGGAAAGGGTAAGGGTAACAAGCTCTGAGCATCCTTCAGTTTGTGTGAACCATGTGCCAGGTGAGCCTCCATGACCACAGATACCGATACCCTTTCTAGCCAATCTGCTTGGCAACTGGATATGGTCAATATTTGCTTTTTCCCAACCACAATAAAGCTGAATTGAAATACTGTTGTTTTTTTTGTACATGTTACTCATTAATGCCTCCATCTGGCAACTATCCTAGGGGTGAGGGTTCAGTAAATTTAAAAAGGAACATTACTTCTCTGCAAATTAACCATCAATGGAAATCACGCAGAACTTGTGCTAAGCTTTGTTTTCACACGTCAAACACATATTTGTTAAATACGTAGGATGTATAAATATAGTATTAAGATTCCTGGGAAGTGACAGCTCCTCTTTAACCCCTATGGATCAAGGAGTATATTGTTTGTTACAGTGTGAAAAATAACTGAACATGTTAATCCAACAATGAAGCATTATGGCTTTTTCTCAGTGTTTTATTGCGAGCGATTGAATGGTAGAACTGACGATAATTTCATCTGATCTAATTTCTGTCCACCGATGCAATTAAATTCTAAAGCAGATTTTGCACTATACTTTCACACTAAAACATTACTAAAGACCATGAGAAAAAGTTAGCATTACTAGATAAGCCATTCTCTCAATAAAGGAACACCAAGCACCATAACAACTACAGCATGCTCCAGGTCTCCGTTTGTGTTGACTTCTAGCTATACAGATACCCATCATGTATTTTCATATTTTTCCTCTAGGTGGCACTGTGGCACTTCACCCACAATCACTGCTCAGATTGCTTCAAATAAGCTAAAATCACATTTCTTACATTTCATGTCTAACAGCTGCCAACAGACAGATTCATGGGATTTCCCCTGAACATCAAACCTTACAGGGTTATTCACTAACGGTTGGTGAACTGGCAAAGGAACTGCAAATTTCAGGCTCACTAAACTGAATTAAAAAAAAAAAATCCCATCCAACTATTTTATGAATTTGGTTATTTTTGCCTAAAAATTTTAATAATCTTGTAAATTCCCCCCTAAAATGCAGTAAGTAACCTGTGTATGAATGATCCCCAAACGTGATCTATATTGTAAAATATAAAGGAATTACAGTCACACCCCTTAAATTAATAGCATAGGACCCCTTAAACATAGTTGCCAGCATTTGAAAAAGAACATTGGGTAGTTTTTAATTTCCGTCACCGAAACCACTTTAGCAAGTAGTTTTGGTGTAGAGATCATGGCCCTGCAGTCTCACTGCTCAATTCTCTGCCATTTGTGAATTAAATCACTTTATTTATACAGCTCTAGTCACACCTCATTGCATGTAACTTACACAGCCTTCTTAAACACTTCCTGCAAAGAGACATCTAATGTTTAAACTTCCTTTATTGCACACTCTGCTAATTTAGGATGTATTATCTCCTGCAACGTTAATATACTGCTAGACCCTGCAGGAGCTTCCTGAGAGAGATTACATTTTAATTTACAGAGCAGGAGATCTTCTAAAGTAAGTAAATATCTGATTGAAATGATACCTTTTTTTTCATGCAGGCTGTGTCAGTCACAGCCAGGGGAGGTGTGGCTAGGGATGCATGGACAAAAAGACAATTGAGTTAACTTTCAAATGGTAGAGAATTGAGCAGTGAGACTGCACGGGCATGATCTATACACTAACACTGCTTCATTAAGCTTAAGTTGTTTTGATGCCTATAGTATCCCTTTAAATAAATGTTAAAAAAAATATTATAATAATGAAACCATTTATTGTGTTGAGAGATTTATTTAAATAAATGTTAATATATTAAATACGGTGTATATTACTACAAATTTGGTGTCAATACAACACAGTGGTATGTATACCCTGAAAAAATATATATATTATAATTTAGAATAGCTTAATGTTACTTTTAGGTTGCATTGTTCCAGTGTGAAAACTGAAGATGGAATTGATGGTAGTAACGAACGTTCTCATACTTACAGGAGGGCCACGTGGACCTGGAAAGCCACGAACAGGAGTATTCAGTGGCTTATTACTTGTTGTAGTCTTTTTATCCAGTACCCCCTCAACACTGCCTGAACTCCTCTGTGTGGAAGTATCATTGTAAGCGTGTGATGTAATTACGATAGTGGTCCAATTCTCTTGGTCGGGTGGTGCTGTAGGAAAGCGGTCAATTGTTGAGTTGAAGTAGGCGTTGGAAACTGGTGTGGGCAGGGGGCTTGCCTTGGTGTGAACCGGGTCTTCTGTCAAGTCTATTATGTCATTGGTGGATTGGTCTGTTGGAATGCGTCCCTCTGAGATGGGTCTCTTCTTCTTGTCGGATGTGATATTTTCTTCAGTAGAGTCTGTTTTTTTGTAGCGTTCCTCTTTCTTAGAGGTTTTGTCGCCATGTCCAAGAGTTGAGCCCTGATGAATAGCAGGTATCAGATCTTCTTCTTTCAGCTGTGAGAGATCTAGCTCATTGATGAATTTGTGAGAGCCTTGCTTGACGGCTTCCTCTGTACGATCTCCCCAATCTCCTAACCGATCCCATGATGCGTTTGATGGCAAATTCTAGGAGAATCAAGAAAAATTATTAACAAAACTGCACAGTCCATGTGTGGTCACGGTTTTACTCTTGTCTTAAATTAAAAAACATTTTATAAGACAGGACACTGCTAAAAAAGAAGCATTGAGAAACATAGTTGTGATAAATTGAATTCTGTCTGTAGCTGCATATTTTGTAGGATATAAAAGACTTGCGTATCTCAGAATGTATAAAGTCCAACACAGTTGGGTATACGCATGTTTCATATTTTGAATCTGGCTGGTTCCTCTCAACATTACACTGGAGTGCCAATCTGATGTTTTGATCTATGCATCATATCTCAAATTATAATTCCACTAAATGAACTAAACAGCATATTATTACAATTTGATAAATTATCTTCTAATCTCAATTACCCATCATCCCGTAAATGATTATTTCCTGAAAACATGTTTGTTTGTTTTTGTTTTTTATAAAAAAAATATCAACAGGGCCTGCTATATGTGAATTATAAAATACAATCAATGCATTAGTTAAATTGCCACAATATGTATAGATTAAAGCATGATTGGATCCAGATATATATCTAGACATTTGGAAATCATTTAATAATACAACATATAGTACTTGCTTTTAATAATACAATAAAAACATTTATTCCACCATTCTACACTAAATAATAAAACACGTCAGTAAGGTAACTCACTAGTTAGTATCCCAACTGCACTGCCTCTAGCGCATACAGAACCGGATAGCTGGATTATAAACTAGTATTACTCAGTTCTAAATCTTTCCTAGCTTAATAAAATGATTGTCATTCAGCTGGATATTAATACTTTATAACATGCTATGATGGCTGAAGTTACCAGCTGCAAAATTGGGATAATGGTTCCATTATGTTAGAGGGACAGTACATTTGTCTCTATAGTTCAGGTTAATTTAGACCTACACTGGGAGTGATCAAAAGGCTGGAAAGGCTTCATGGGTGTTGTAGTTGATGGGTTACTTTTTGGCAGTGGATGACCTATACCTTTGAAAAGATCAAATATCCCCTTAAATGTCGACACCCCATCCCAGGATTAGAAAGTAGCAGAACATCAAAATGTGGATTTAAAATACATGTAAACACATTCACCCCCCTGTCTGTGCGGTCTTTCAAGTCATATGGGAAACATTTAAATGCTCATCCTGTTATCTGCTCTGTGCAAGAAAATCGAGGATATTTTTGATCCTCTGTAAAAGGTTCTTTGGTGTGGCTGGGTTTTAATGCCCGCTGCCCTGTTACATGTAGCTGTGGGTACATCCTTTTCCTTTTTAACAGCACAGAGTTTTGATGAATCTCAGATTCACTTCAAAAAGAAGCAGAAATTAGATTAATGTCCCCTCAGGTCAAAATTCCTTTAAGGCATCGATGGATCTCGTACAGATCTCCTAATTGTGGGATTCTGCCTTCTTCAAAATCACTTTTCTTTTACTTAATTCAAAGCCCAAATTAACTATACATTAAAAATGTATTCAGGAAACAGTGAACTCTAGTGACATGAATACCAAATTGCAAAGATTAGGCCAAAAAACAAGACGGAAACATTTCCAACTTGACTATGTGAACTTTCAAGTCATTGTTTAGTTTAGTAAACGCAAAGATATTTATTCAGAGAAGTGGGAATCGTGTAAAATTTAAAGGAACACTCTGAGCATGATACCTACAGCCTGCTTTTGTGATTATGATGCCCGAACTGGCTTGGAGCCCTCCCAGGGTAAGAAGTCAAACTGCATGAGATAGGTTTAGCGGCTTACCTGGAGTTCGCTGATCACCTCCTCTAACAAAGGGCTTCCTTTAGCGCTACTAAGCCAAGCCCTACAGTGCAGGCCAGGCTTGTTGGCTGGGAGGATCATATGCATGCTCTCAGTCTGCATGGCTTTTGATCAACGAGCTAAGCTCTTCTTGGCTCTTAGTCAACGAGCTAAGCTCTGCTTAGCTCTCGATCAATGAGCTAGTCTCTGTAGGGCTCTCTGTCAACGAGCTAAGTTCTGCACGGCTCTTGGTCAACGAGCTAAGCTCTTCTCGGCCTTAGTCAACAAGCTAAGCTCTGCGCGGCTCTCTATCAATGAGTTAGTCTCTGTAGGACTCTCTGTCAACAAGCTAAGCTCAGCACAGCTTTTGATCAACGAGCTAAGCTCTTCTCAGCTCTTAGTCAACGAGCTAAGCTCTGCTTAGCTCTCGATCAATGAGCTAGTCTCTGTAGGGCTCTCTGTCAACGAGCTAAGTTCTGCACGGCTCTTGGTCAACGAGCTAAGCTAAGCACGGCTCTCCGTCAATGGGCTAAGTTCTGCTCGGCTCTCCGTCAACTAGCTAAGCTCTGCTCGGCTCTTAGTTAATGGGTTAAGCTCTGCATGCCTCTTAGTTACTGGGTTAAGCTCTGCATGGCTCAGGCATTGACCTAAGCTCTGCTACATATTTCGGGGACACAGGAGGAGGTGAAGAGCACCCAGCTCACCCCATGTAAGTTGTTGAACTGGTTTCATTACTAACCTTAAGAAGGCACCAGGCACCCCAACAGCCATAACCATTATAGTGGGTAATAGTGGTTATGGTATTTGGAGTGTTCCTTTATCACAAAAATGTTTCAATTGAAAAATGGATAATTCAATAAACATTGAGTTATGAAAAATGTGTAACATAAGAGATGCATTAAAAAAAATCTTCAACGCAGAAACCATGCAACTTAGTCACAATACACGTTTCAATGAGTAAATGCCAAATATTGTCATGGTGTCTCTTCAAAATGCTCCAAAACATATTATTAGCTAAATGAATACGCTAATAGTGTGACAACATTTTCAATTTATAGTAAGGGAAATTTGATCATATTTCAAAGACTAGACAGTCTACGAGAGAATTTAACTTAAATTAAACCATATTGATTTTATTCCATGAGAGAATCATTAATATACACTAAAATAAGCAAGTCATATTAAAGTATAATAGTGCACAATCATATACTGGGGCAATGTACAAGTGGAGAAACCAAAGAAACCTGTAATTTGCCGTATATTGTTCATAGATGCTTCATTTCAAAGTAATATTGTTTAAACTACCCCAGTCAAACACGGCTCCAAAGAAAGTTTGAGAAAAGTTTGGAAGAAATTTGGTTCTGAGGTTTTCTTATAAATGCCACAATTATCATCAACAAAAAATTCAAACCTGGCCAAATATCCAATTGGTTCAATTTGTTTCCAAATATGTTTTGGAGTTGGCTATTTGCTTAATGTACTTAGTCTTGTCTGCTGGGACGCTATTCCAGGTAAGCACTACTCTTTCTGCATATTGTAACTCAATGCCATTCATCTCCTCTCTAATGTTTCCAGTTAAATATTTGTATTTTGATGTGTAGACCATCTTTCAGTCAATTTTGAGTTTAAAAGCAATTAAGGCTGTCTGATCCAGTGAGTTTACACTCCAATTCTGACATCACCAGTGGTTTTATGGCATGTTCAGTTGCCACATTAATTATAAAATTATCAGCTTTATAATTTCATTTTCAAAGAATTTCTTGGGTTTTGCACAGTCACCTCCATCATGTCATAGAACATTTGGTCTATGATGGCGTGTGGATGAGGAGCTAAACACAAGGTAACATGTAATTACCTATTCCTTAAAGAATAAGCCGCGAGGTTCTTTCCATCCCAAACATACATTAAACTGAGTTAAAAGGTTGTCTCCACACCGCCCCTACCAATTATCTAGACGGGGGGGTGAGGGGGAATATATAGCACGCCTTCTGCAAACTTCAAAGGTTGGTTTTTGTTTTTTAATTGTGTTATGTACTAACAGAAGCATGTTTTGAATCAGTAGGGGCTCTCTCTGAAGACACACCGGGAAAAGGACTTAGAAATGTCTAAATCTACATACTGGAATAACTTTTGAATCTATGCACATGCTAGCAATTTGGCTGCAAAATGTGCAGGTAACGTTTTATTCTTAGAAAGTGGTAGTAGGTCAATATACCATACCTGAAAGTGTTAATGTCACCCTCAAATTGGGTTAATGGCAAAAGTTGAAAAAGCTAAAGTGGAAATATTCTCCAAGTGTTTTGAACTTACATTTTAAATTTACTTTACATTTCCTACAATTCTCACTTTATTGAATAACCCTGGCACATGCCCCCCAACGTCCCGGTTTCGGGAGCCTGTTCCATCTCACTTTGGTTCCCTGGTGTCTTGCCTCCGGGGACACTAGGGAACTGTGCCTGAGCGGCAGAGCACATGTGCATCATTAGACGACTTTCCAGGTAGGTCTGCCCATTTCATCAATGGTTATGCCCCCTCGGAAGGCCTGCTTTGCTTCCCATGTCCTACCAGCCAATGATTGGCAGGTTTGTAGTTTTGTACTTTTCACTGCAATCATGTTTGTATAGTGGTTTATAATAAAGAACTAATAGATGTATAGTAAAATTAATGTTGTGTTTTATACATTTGCTAGCAATCTGGGCATCACAAATCCAAGATGGAATGTTATCCTATATACAAACTGGTACAAGTTTTGCCTGGCATGAGAAGTGCCCTTTAATAGACTTGCACCTACCTGCTGTGAAATTCTGCAAAGCCAATAACATACTAATTAAACATGTTAAAAAGATTAAAAAGAAAATGATCAATTAAACAGCCAATCATTAAGAGGAGGTCAAGTGCATCCTGGAAGATACTGTGCTCTAAGACAGGGGTCCTCAAACTGTGGCGCCCCAGATGTTGCTGAACTACAACTCCCATGATTTTCTGGCTATCTATGTAATTCAAAGACTCATGGGAGCTGTAGTTCAGCAACATCTGGAGGGCCACAGTTTGAAGACCTCTGGCTCTAAGATACAGAGGATGTAATTGTCGACATGTTAGTGAAAATCTGATCTGTTTGTTTATTAACTATCAGTGGGTTTATGTTAGATGACTTATACGATTATTATTTGCATTTATATAGTGCCAATATATTGTGCAGCGCTTTACAAAGGGGATATTTAGAGGCACAGAAGCCCCAGCTCAGACTCTTACAATCTATGAGAATTTGAGGTAGGTGGATAGATACCTAAAAACTCTTTTTGGTGAGGGGGTCTAAACGGGCTTTGAAACTGGGTTTCCCTGGTCTAAGGCAGTGATGTTATCAGTGATGCTGTCCTAACCAGCTGAAAATATGTCTATTGTTCCAAGCATCATCATTAATCTCCAGATCGGATATGCTTTCTCTTTCTACAGCTTGACGAAAGCTGCAGTGTTAACCTTTATCAATGCAGCCATATTGGCAGCGGCAGGTTACCAGCCATCATACGACCAATGTCACAAAGTCTAGTGGTGGGTTGCGGACTGCAGCTAGTCCCTTATTTCAGTTGGGGGTCACTTACTGCCATATTTCTTGATTCTTTTAATGCCATTTTTAATTGATCTCTATATATAATCACTAATCTTTGCAAACCCATGCATAAAGGTGATATATTCGAAAAAGTAAAACATATACATAAACTAAATGAGCATTTACAGCCCCCATCAAGTTGTACTAGAAACATCCTTCACTCAGAGGTGTGAAAACCCCCATCAGGTTCCCATGCAGTGCCAAATGTATTCAGGAACCATTGCTTAATTATCTGTAGCGACAAATGGAAAGAACTTTTACTGTCACACTTACAGAATGAGAAGAAAGGCCTCTTCCTACCCAAACATGAAACAAACACGTATTAGATCTGTCTCTACATACATGCACATAATGGACACTTAACGTAGAGTTTGGTCTAAACACTCCAAAATATTTAGATACCATTATTTAATATGTTAGGATATTTCATTTGGAGTGGGGGGGATTTTAGATTTCAGATATATAACTGGTGAAATGTAGCTATTATTCTAGCACGGGTATTTTAAACCTAAACAATTTCTTGGTCGCGTCTCTGCAATTCTTGTTTTAGAGAAAAAGTCCCATTTCTAATTTTTTAAGCAGCGTTATTATATAAGGATAGGTCATTTATCTTTACATATAGATAAAACATTAGCAAACACTCAATCACTACATATTTAGCTAGCTATAGATATATAAATAAAACAACCTTGAACTTTTAATTTACTATAATTATCGGCTACACCTATTCTGACTAAAACCCCAAATTGTCGGCAATCGCAGTAATTACAGTGGGTAATGCATGCTAATAGTGGTCGCCCTTACCTGTACACTGTGGAATGTAGCGTTGTCCAATGTAGTTAGTGACATTTCAACGTTTGAGAAAATGATCACGAGGCCTAGAATACTCTGTAGCATCGCACAAGTGGCCATTTCTCCAGGCAGACTGGATGTAACAGCTACAGACATCACAGAGGGTCAGAGCTAATCCCACCCAAGGCACCACTTTACTAAACCATACCAAATGCCTTGCACCACCTACAGGCTGCACAAAGAGAATCAGGTGTGGCCAGACCATCTAACTGCTGTTTATTCCCTTCTAACGGGAAAACAAAGGAACATTTAGCATTTTATTTTACTGTCCCTGTGCATTGAGGTGTAATTATTAAATATTAAATTGTAAACCATTTATAAACTATAAAATATTTTACCAGGAAGGATACATTGAAATTTCTCTAGTTTTCAAGTATGTCCTTTTTCAATTCATTGCAATTTGCTCTTTAGTGAATTAATTTCAATTTACCAGTTACCTGATGGATCAATATGTAACATGTTACAAGGTAACATTACCCTGACCCACCGTAGTATAAGGAGTTAATAAACATTACATTACTTCTTAGCCTGAGGCTACTTATCTGCCTACAGTCTTGTTGCTATCTTTCATCATATCTGACATCAAAGAGATCCACACTGTTTAACTCCAAACTTACAAGCATCGCTCTGCTCAGCCCCTTTCCTGTCAGCCCAGAGGAGCAAATGGATCTAATCTTCTCTTGGAGACCTTTTGCCTCAAGCAAACAGATTTACAGTATAGTTTTGTTGGTCTTCTAGTGTCTTTGGTTGTAGACTGTCAGCTCTTTGGGTGAAAGACTTTAAAAAGCATACTCCAGGGTGACTGATGGAATAACTGCTATCGATATTTAATCCCAGCCCTATAAGTATTTAAGATTCACCGGTAACAATCCTGATGTGGCCCTCCCTAGGGCTGACAGGACTATAATGCTGGACTATAGTCACTGCTGGGAAATAAATTTATGCTGGCTGCACGTAGCAAGATTTGAAGTCGACCACAGTTGACGTGGCCTATTCTATTAGTCATCTTCATTGGTTTCCGGAAAGGAGAAATGTTTGAACCAATTGATTTTACATTTAACTGCTGATTTTACTGCAACCAGACTTCTCTCAAATGAATCCAGGCAGAAATAAATGAAAACCATGTACAACCCCCAACCCCAGGCAGCTTTAAAGGTCATTCCATATTGTTTCCATGTATTCATAGGGCACACATTTCCTCCAGAATGAGTTACAGGCGACCAAACTAAATACATTGCGGCTAACGCCATGTGCAAACTTGATTCATACCAAGCTCCATTTCCACGTGTAGATTACATTGGCAATGCCAGTCTACCTGGCACTTTCTAAACAACCAATGATTTTATGCGACAACTTGACAGTCGTGAACTACTTTGGATCATTATGGAAACTTAGTGTCATCTCTTTTTCCATAGGGATTAATATACCATACCTGCCCATTCACAGCGAGACCTTGAGAATTTGCCAAATTACCACAACACCTTATGAATCTGCCCATTCCATGCCTGGAATGCAGCCTATTCAAATATCTGCCCGCTAACCACAAGAATCTGTGCATTTACAGTAAGATTCCAAAGCTGTGTCCATTCATGCAGTGAATCTGCCCAATAACCCTAAAACGGGAAACCTAAGCGCGCCTCCCATTCATCCCAATTTCAGTGTCCCGCCATGCCGTGTTTACTTTCTGGTGTGCAGATTAAGATAAAAAAGGATGAAAAAATAATTATTGGGATATAAATGGAACAACAATAATAGGCACGAAAATGCAGACAAATGGTAATGCATGGAAAGGTAAATAATGCGTACACTAGGAATAATTTGTGTAGTAATTCGGAGGAGACAGTGCGCTTAAGGAAAATGCTTATAATGACAGTCTTGTAAACAACGTTACTTAAATAACAAGATTACAAAAGCCCAGTGAGGTCCACCCTCCTAACTGCACTATAGACTAAAGAAGGGGAGAGACAAAGGAGGGGAACAGAAAAAAAAATAAGTAAAGGTTTAGGCAGCTAATACAAAAAATGGGAACTATATCAATACAAATACATATAGATAGGGGAAAAATATCTCACTTGTCTTGGAGTTAAACGGAACTAACAACTTCCTTATAATACGTTGGTGGACCATAAAACACAGGGTGCACCTGCATACCATATAGGGGCAGATAGAGAAAATCCCTAGAGGCCAAGTGAGGACAGGGACAAGATACCTAATGCCAAATACCTAAAAGTGGGAAAAGAATCTCACTTGTCTTGAGGGTAAACGGAACTAACAACTTCCTTATAATAATCCCTGTGACTACCTCGGTACACGATAAAACAGAGGGTGCACCATACCATATAGAGGCAGATGGAGAAAATCCCTAGAGGCCAAGGAGGACAAAAAAAAAAAGAAAAAAAGAGATTAGCAAAAATATATAACTCTAAAAGTTCCCCAACATTAGCTCACTCACTATTCTTAGTGGTAAATGAATACCGAAGAAATACTCTGAATAAATCTCCTTCACTGAGGCCAAAACTGTGATTAAATTAAAGTAAATCATACAAAAATCTCAAAAATAAGTAAATAATAAAAAAAACCTCTAAAACATCACCTTGATACTCTAGATTCTGGTGACTATTGTCCATTATTTTTCTTTTTCCCCCTGTCTCGCGCTTTTGGGGAATTGTTTCTTAGAAAGTTTAGCTCGAACGCATCATAGACGTGCGCACGCTACGCTAGGGCTACTAGGATCCTGCAGAGATCATTGAAACAGCCCTCCCTGTTTGGTCCATCTCCAGTGGGTTGGCCTATGTGATTGGCAGGCAGCATGGTGTGCATTGACGTATGGATGAACTGCCAGTTCTTTGGGCAGACCCGCTCCTATTATGGGTGAGTCCACCCCTTTGGGCGGTATGAGTGACACAAATCGCATCCCTGGCCTGCCTCTTTTACTATGTCCACCAGCATCCTAGTTCACAGGACGCTGCTGTTCAGGGGAATAATTTAAACACTTCCCCAGAGCAGGACTTGAGCAGGATTATATCAGAGGGATTCCCTGTTCAGTGATTATTTTGTGCTCCCCCCGCCCTCCTTTAATAATAGAGGAAATTGCTATAATGTGACAAAAGATGAACCGGTCAATTACATAATTAAACTGACGAAAAGTATTTTAAAACAAACCTGTTCGTAAGTGTTTGAAATTGATCAGCTAATGAAAGTATTACAATATGGCTACAGGTTTTCCGATCATCGTCCCTTTACTGCCTCTGAATGACCATCTTCGGAGATTGGTGAAATTTGTTAAATGGACAGTCTAATAACAAAAATCACTGAAGTGCAGCATTGCAAGTGAAATCAGTGACATTTCTGAAACAGCACTGTTTGCATGTTGCAATTTCAAAGCTGTCAATCAATGAACTGAATTAATTGAAATAGATTATTAGAATAGAACTGAATCGGTCTGGCGGCCGTGGGTGTCCAAGAGTTAATGCTTCTCATAGATTCTGCGACTGCGGCAATCTCTGCTTAGCCTCAATGTTTCTCTATGAGAAGAATTTGATTGACACGGATCAGTAAGTCTGATGGAGGACCGGCTGCAGAGAGAAGATGTCTTGGTAGTAAGAAGTAAGTTTAATGGAGATTTGCAACGTTTCTTCTTTATTCTATTTAGAAATGCAAGTACAGATATTAATGTAACTAAAACCTGGTAGCTACCGGATGATCTAAAGCAGGCGTGTCCAACCCGCAGGCCGCATGAAAGACAAATATAGTGGGTTAGACAATGAATGGCAATTTAAGGGTGCACTCGCTAAAATATGACTAGGATGAACTAAAAGATATTTTGATGGTGAAGGGAGTGAGCGCAGGACTTCTATTTTTGTATTTGTATTTACTTTGTATCACACAGCCTTGTTACAATGCTGCCACCCATCCCATGTGTTCTCTATTAACGGTTAATAAGTATATAGGGGTGTATATAAAAAATACCCCTCTCTGTCTCATTAGCGATATCTTTGCAAGAAGCTCAAGGAAGCAGGCTGAAGGGTCGGTGTTAGGACCCGCTTAGGGGGATCTGCCTTGACGTTGGCAGGCGGGCATTCCCTCCAGTGGCCATTGGAGCAACTAAATGACCTCCATTTGTCTAAATATACATAGGGATTAAGGAGAGAGTGCAGGTAACCTTTTCTTTTCTTTGGTTTTTACTATCCAAATTTGAGACTACGTGCACCCACAGCACACTCAAGAAAATACTAGTAACAACGATGCAATGCTACAGAGCCCCGAACACCTTGTACTCAACTGTATAGTCTTAGCTGGGAAAAAGAGCTCCACCTCTCCATCACAGATAAGCAATGTAAGCAAATATTTTTACAGATACATACATCCTCAACCAGCTTAGCAATACAAGAAAGTAACTATAAGAGGATAGCTAGATGGCACTATACCCATTCCTAACTTAAGCACACATTCCTGAACACATCCAGTCAATGCTGGAGATGCCTACAACCACTGGGGACTCAGCACACATCTGGTGGTCTTACCCAGTAATTCAAAAGTTCTGGTCCAGGATCTCCAGCCTCATGCAGAACATACTGGGCACTACCATACCATACACACCCGAAACATTTATTTTCCACATACTACAAGAGCCATAAAATCTCTAAGCATACATCTACTCACAGCGGCGAACCTACTCATTCCCAAGCAGTGGAAAAAAGCCACCCCACCAGCCATTATAGAATGGATACAAAAAGTGGAAAGCATCAGAACGATGGAGGAGTTAAGCTTCTTGCTATCCCAAAAATACCACATATACACAGACACCTGGGAACCTTGGCGCAACTTTTTGAAAATCAGTAAAGCTGACTGACAACTTAAATCCCCAGTACAACTAGCAGATCGCAGAACGACATAACCCCTGATAGACCACACTCACTTTTACCAAACCAGAGCCCGGACGTCCGTGAGACGTCCGCGAAATGACCAATGCTATCCAGTATTGTAAATGCCTGAAGATGACCCAGTGTTCTGTCCAGGCTGGTAACGGCCACACAACCGGTTATGTCATGTATGTCTCAAATCAAGTTTCTATTTGTAAACAGTATTCGGGTAAA